GTAGTACATGATAGAGTGGAAAAATATTTTTCTGTAAAAATAATAAATTAAAATAATATTTGAATAAAAAAAATATAATTAGAAACCCTAATAAAGTACAAAAAGAACAGAGGTGAGTGGTACGAAACAAAAGTGCGCGGCTCTTTTTAGCAGCATCGCCTGTCGGCTTACTACAACAATACACAGTGGTAAAGGAGGGCCCGATGCTATTGTGCGCGGTATGGCGCAATCGTCCGCCATGTGCGCAGTGCGCCACTTCTTCTGCCGTCACAATTCTTTCCAACGGCAGCTGACTAACATACGCATTTGTTCAGTGGACCCCACTTTTCATATCAACCATTGGCCAGCCGCCACGTGGACCCTACACATGGAGGAGTTCGCCACACGGGCCCCGCCTCTCGCACAGGTCATGTGGCGTAGGTTTTAGGCTACAGTTGATCAAATGTTAGTTGCACTGCTGCTACTTGTCTTCTTCTTTTTTTTTTTTTTCTTTTTTTTTTAATATAATACTTTCTCATTTTATTATTCCCTCTGTACAAAAAAAAATATCTCGGTGAGAGTTGACACATAAATTAAAAAATAATAATATTTAATAATAATAATTATGAATAATTTGAAAATTTAAGAATAAATTTGTTATAAAGTGGGGACTACAGTTACTAAATAAGAAAATAAGACAATGGTTTGAGACGGACAAAAATAGAAAAAACAAGATAATTTTTTTGGAACAGAGTGAGTATTTTCTAATTTAGTAATTTTATTATCTATCTAACCTAATTAATACGCTTATAACTTCCAATATATTACACAAATATCATTACTTTTTTTACCACACAATCTAATAGAGGCAATTTTGTCTTTTCTACAATAAATTAATATTAAAAAATCTATGTAAAAAAAACAAATGTTACTTTTCTTTACGGAAATGATATAGTACTTAAATAATTTTGTTATTTAGATTAATTGAATTATTTTTAATATCATATAATTGTTACCGTTTGTTTGTGTATATGTTTTTTTCGTTTTAAGTTAATTGACCATTTTTATTAGTGATATACTATTATTTAAGATAATGATATTTAATTGGTTAATAAAAATGAATTATTATATTATTTTTTATATAATTAACAATATTGATAGTTTTAAAATAAATTTAATATATTTTTTAAAAAATTAAAAAATATATTTAAATATTTTAAAAATTATATCACAATAAATATTATTTTGTAGATGATGAAATTTTATAATATAAAATAAATAAAAAAATATATTTATTTTTAAATATTTAACATGAATTAATTTTATAAAAGATGTGTAATTTTAAATTTTGATAAAAAAAATTATTATTTTAGAAAGTAATATAAATAAAGGAGTTTTGAGTGATTATTACATAATGTATGATATTATATATAATTTAGTTAATTAAGTTATTTTATATTGTTTCAATATGTTTTAATTTAAAATTTTTTATCTAAAATGAGACGGAATGAGTATTTTTTGTTATTTTTTTTTATTTATAATAAATGTATTATCTAGAAAATGTAAAATTAAAATTAACAAGCAAAATAATATGAATGAAGCATTTAATTGATATATATTTAAAATATTAGTATATTTTTGGATAAATATATTTTTATATTAAATATAGAGAGTCCTATTGTTATTATAAAAAATAATATTTTAAAAATATTTTAAAATTTTTAATTCTTTGTAAGTTGGTAGAGTGTGTATATTATGTAATATATGTATAAATTATATATATTTTTTAATATTTATGGATAATTGTATCACTAAAAAATCGTTCGGTGAACACATTCTTAATTGGTTGTTATTTTTCATGTTTTATTGTAATGATATGAAGTTATTTATTTTCAATAAAAAAAAAATATCAATTTTCTAGATAAAATATAACAATCATTTTATTTTATAAACAATAAAATTTAAAACCTAAGAAATTCAAATATACGATTTTCTTTTTTTTTTATCTTCCTTTTGTTTTTTTTTTCTTAAAAAAATATATTATTTCACTCTATATATATTTCAATAAAAATATACTACTATTCCTTTCACAACTATAATATAATAAAATTTACTTTATTCAAACAAATTAGACTTTTTTTTTTTTTAGAATTGTTTATGTTTTTCAATAACTAACAACAAATATTTAAACAAATCATAAATACTAAAAGAATAACCCATACACACAAATAAATACAATTAAATTTTATTCTATTTACTCAAGGCTTAGTTTAAGTGTTTTTAATAAAAATAAATAAATAATATACATATTTTAATATGATGTGTATTTTCTATTCTTTTATAATTAAAAAACATAAAAATAATGTAAAATTTTATTGAATAAGAAAATAAAATTATTTTACGTGACAAACAAAACAAAATAAAATAAAATAAATTTATGTGACACATGAAGTATCAATTATAGTAGTAATATTAATAAAATAAGTATAAATATTAATACTTCCTCCGTCCCAATACAATAGTTTTGTTTATCACTTTTATCCGTCTCAAAATAATAGTCTCATTTTCATAAATAACCATATCACCATAAAACTATCCATACTTTTTCATTATTATTACACAATTGTCACTACTTTTTACACTAATATACTTACAAGGGCAAAAAAATCATTTATCCTTACATTTTATCCGCTACCACTATAATATTAATATTCCTTATATCTCGTATTTTAAAAAATTTAATTACAAATTAAAAAGAAAAAAAAATGAAGATAATCAAAGTAATAAAATTGATTGTAAATAAATATTAAACAAAAAATAACAATATCAATTTATTGACTTTTTCAATATCAATAATTGAATAAATTTAACTACTAAAAAAATAAATATAAATTTGGTGGTTTGGAAAAGTATCTATATTATGATAATTACACATGCCATCTATATTACACGCCTATCTATGTTGTATTAATTTCTATTTTAAAAAATAATAATACCAATATACTTCGTCTTATATCTATATATCTATTTTCTTTTTGCATGGAGTTTTAAAAATATTAGTATTATATTGGGATAAAAGTAGAAATAAAGGTAAAAAGACTAAATTAATCATATTAGTATTATATGATATAAAAGTAATGACATTTGTGTAATATATTGTAAATTGGAAGGATATTTGTAATGTTAGACAGATAGTACAATTACTAAAAAAAAAATAGATACTTTGTTATGGGACGGACCAAAATGAAAAAAATAGATATATTGTTAAGGGACGGGGGAGTAAAAGATAAACTTATTATTACTCCCTTTGGTCCCATATCTATATATCCATTTGTTTTTTTGCACGGAGTTTTAAAAATATTAGTATTATATTAGGATAAAGTATAAATAAAGATAAAAAAGATTAAATTAACCCTATTAGTATTGTATGATATAAAAATAATGACATTTGTGTAATATATTGTAAATTGGAAGGGTATTTGTAATGTTAGATAGATAATACACTTATTAAAAAATGAAATGAATACTTTCTTATGAGACTGACCAAAATGAAAAAATAAATAGATTGTTAACGGACGAAGAAAATATTAAATAAATTTGATGGTTTGGAAAAGTATCTATTTATGAATATATTTGAATAAAGTATTGAAACTTCAAAACTTAAAAATGATGCATATTGAAATTTCAGCTTTGACAATGGCATTATAAATTTCTAATTAATTCAAGGATTTGAATGTCAAATATTGATTATATTTTGGAAACTTTGGTACTAAGAAAGTTATTTCAAAGTTTAATTTTGCAGTTGCACCTAAAATTAATTCTCTAGAAAATTATAATTGCACTTGACAATTAAAAATAGACAATAATTTTATTTTTTTTTTTATTTTTAATTTTTGCATGTTCACTCAAACATATATACTTTTTTTATTATAATAAAAATATATTTATGTTAATACTAAAATATTTTTAATTTTTTATATAAATTAAAATATTATTGTACATTTATTATTTTATAGATGAAATGTAAAAGGTAAAAAAAATCCTATTGGACACACTTTTTTTAAATAAATATTTTATTAAAAAATTGTCGAATAAAAGTAAAAAAAAAAAATTAGAGTATTTTTGAATATCTAATTAGTAAAAAATAATAAATTATATTAATGTAATAAAAATAATAATATTTATAGTAAATAAATATTAGGGTTTGTTCTTTTTATTTTTCTTCCCCCCTATTCTTTCTACTTTTTTTTTTCCACACATTTTAATAAACAAAATTAATATACTACGTATATTTATTATATTTATATTTTCTACATATTTACCTATATCTCACGTAAAAGAATACGCTAAATTGTTCATTTTTTCGAGAGAAGTAATATATAAATATAATACATTTCGTATAAATATAAATTATGGCTTTTATAATATCAATAAAAAAATACTTATCAAATTTTTAGTTGAAGGAACAATTACGTACTTTTTTTGTCCAAGCTAAATTGTTATATTTAATTTATATACGAAGTTTTAAGTATCATGTAATTAGTAAAGAAATATAATAGTAAAAATAATTATGATTTAATAAAAATAATTATAAATTTTAAAATGTGATTTAAAATGTATAATTATATTTTAAAAAATAAAAAGATAAATTATGTAGACATACAAAAGTAAAAATACGAGATAAATTAAGTGGAATAGAGTAATATTTAGGAGTATGTTTGTTTGTAGGATTTTTGAGAATTCTAATTATTTTTCTTATATAAATTAAATTAAATTAAGTACTTAATTTTATTTTATATATTATATATTCAAAATAGTAAATTAATATTTATTTATAAAAAATTTAAAATTTTATTATTTAAAATTTAAATTAAAAACAAATGTGTGAAAATTACAAAATGCCACCTCAGTTATTTTGCAATTTTGATGAGAGCTTTGACAGGTCAGCACGCACGTAAAAACGGCCCAACTTTGGTACGGACATTTCAAGCGTATATATAAAAGCCACCTAAACCCCATACGGCCCAAACCCTCGCTTTCATCACCACCACCTTTCCAATTTGTTCTCTATCTCAGGGAAGGTTCTCTTCCCAGGAATACAATTCCCAGTTGAATTCAGCACACCTGTTGGCGGATCATAGGCCAACACGTAACGAATCGGCTGATTGATAGAGACGATTGTATTCCATAAGACTTGGGAGAGAGTTTGGAATTTTTTTGATTTGTGTGTTTGCAATTTGTAGGTAGAGAATTAGTGAGAAGCTCGATCGGAGACTTGAAAATGCCGCCGGCCGACGGCGTAATGTCACAGGGAGATCGGATTCAATTGAAGCCGCCGATGGTGGCGATACAGCAGCCGCAGCAGCAGCAGCTTCCGATGATGTCTGCGGCGGCGGCGGCGTCCGAGGCGTTTGCTAAGGACGCCATTATTGCGTGGTTCCGCGGCGAGTTTGCGGCGGCGAACGCGATAATCGATGCGCTTTGCGGTCACCTGACGCAACTGGAAGGCGGAGCGACGAAGACGTATGGATCGGCTTTTGCGGCGATTCACCGCCGCAGATATAACTGGATCCCGATCCTTCAGATGCAGAAATTCTACTCTATTGCTGATGTCACACTGGAGCTCGAGAAGGTCGTTGGGAGGAAGAGAGCGGAGAATGAGGAGGACGCAAGGAAGGTCGATGCAGCAATGATCATTGAAAAGGAGGAGCAGAACGAGAACGCGAACAATAACGAAAACGAAAACGAGAAGGACCTGGAAAATCCGATCGAGAATTGTGAAAGTGACGGCGGTAAGGCGATGGAAGAAGATTTCGGATCGGAAATTACAGACTCAGGTAATTTTTTCGAAATTACTTTACTCAAAATTATTTTTGTTATCACTTCTTCAAAATTCTGTTTCGTCCTGCTTTTTTTTTTTTGGTGTGTTAATACATTTCCATATTTAACTTTTAATCTCCGATTGATATTTCCGATCAAAACCGATCACTGCTAGTAACCTACTTTTTGGAAGAATCCAGATTTCCACGAGTCTCGGGGTTTGGTGGTTGTCTCTGTTCCCCAAATTTTAGCTCATTTCTTCAGTCAAACACGAGATTCATTCTTCATCAGTTCCGATTTAAAACCAGTCCATATGTTCTTGCTTTCTAAAAGCAATCCGGATTCCGTTTCGGGTTGAGCGTGTTCTTTTTACCTCATGATTTATCTTTAATAATCACTCAACATTATTGATTCTTTTCCAGATAAGAAGATACTAAATTGACGGTTACTAACATTTAAGATCAGTTCAGAGCTCTTTGTTTTTTTAAATCCATTTATTAGTGTAAATCTTTTCGTATTTTCCCGAGATTTGTTTCTCAGTTTGGAAAATCGAAAATATGTGAATAGTTAGCTGAGACCTGAGGGCTGAACTCAGGCGAGCTTAACAAAGTTGAATTGTTGATTGTTTCTAATTTCTAAATAAAAATACAAAATAATTAAAAATAATAGTCTAATGAAACAAAAAGGAGGCGTATATTCAAATTCAACCACTAATAATTCTCATGATTATTTTAATAGTAAGTAATGTTAATTAACTATGGTTTTTCGTTTCTTCTTGACCATATTTTCCATTTTGAGCAAATTCAATATCATTTTTTATTTGGGTTTTAAATATCATACATAATATTATAATCTAGGAATTTTCAGCCGTCGATATTTGACGGATACTTTTGTAATGTGGTTTCAGCCATTAATATTTGACAGACTGTTTGTGCACTGTTCCTTGTCTTTTTCTCACGCCTATTTATATTCCGTATTTAGATCCCTATTACCGGTGATTTACTCCTCCGTGATTTACTAGTGGGGTCAGGAGAATTTTCAAAATTAACATTTATATCATTATTAGTGTTTGGTAGCATTATAGAATTGAAACTTTGCAATAATATTAGGCTTCATGTACTGTTTTGGGCTGCGGTCAAAATTAGATTAGAATAAATATATAGGCCTTTTTGGAGAGTTTTATAAAGCTTCTTCTTAAAAGAGGCCACGAGGGTATTCCAAACTTTGGCTTGGAATATATATATTACAAGAATCAATAGTATTTAAAAAATGTGCCCACTTAATAGTCCCTCTATGAAAGGGGCTCTGGTTCTTCAGTGCTTTCCTATTTTGTCTGGATATGTTAGTGGAACTTGATATAGCAAATTGATGCCTGCCATCGTATCTTCTGTTGTTAGCAGAGTGATGGCCCCCCTACCCCCACCCCCTTTTATTTTTCTGTGGTTCGAATTTTTATTGGGAGTGTAAATTGAGAATGCACTTTATTATTTTATATATGTGTTTTGTAAGTGAGGTTTGATTTGAAGGATTATAGAATGCTATTTTGGGAATGATAAAAGATAGAAAAATAAGTGTACTTTTAATGCCTGCGGCCGCTACGAACTCCAACGTTCAGTAATGGCCTTGCCAATATTACACCCTACTCACACGAACACTCCTATTCAATGCCTTTGGTTGCATGATAAAATTTTTTCGAGATTTTTGGAATTTTGAAAATTTTGAAAAAAATAAAATATTAGTATTTGATTTGATATTTTTCTCTTAGTTGTTCATAAACTTCTCCTATACACGTTTCCTGTCTCTATTGTTCGATATTGCACAATACAATTTATCTTCAACCACACAATTTTATCGATTTATTCTAATTCGAATGTAGGATCTCAAGAGGTGCACTCATACCCCGACCACATCACCATATGTTCCAACCACGACGAGTGCGAGACACGTCGTCCCCAGTTCAAGATGACAAAAGGATTTGTAGCAAAAGAGCCCGTAAAAGGGCACACTGTAAGCACTTTCCTCACTCACTCGTTTCAAAAACTATACACACACCGCTGATGATACAAAATCTGTCTCGATGTTTGGCAGGTGAACGTTGTTAGGGGTCTTAAATTATACGAAGACATATTTACCGACGTAGAGCTCTCCAAATTATATGACTTTGTGAACGAACTCCGAGTCGCCGGTCAGAACGGTGAACTCTCAGGTGGATCCTGTGACTCGTGATCCTTTTATAGTTAAAAAAAAACTAGTTACTATTTCCATTTGGGCCAGAAGTTTTGAGATTGTAGAACGGCATCTTCTATAGGTTTGTTGCTCGAGCAGGTTTGGCCATTTATTTTCACTTCAAGATTCAATATTCTTCATATTCTATATATGATATTGAATCTCTATTACTCTAAAATAAATAAAAATTAATTTCATTGATTTACATACATATCTTGTTACACATAAAATATTTCAGCTCACTGTATTCTCTCCCAAAATTTCTAATCAAGAAAATTGTTGATTGATTTCAGGCGAGACTTTTATCATATACAATCAACAGAAGAAAGGCAGCAAGAGAGAGCTAATACAGCTTGGCGTTCCCATATTCGGGCAGATTAAAGAAGATGGAGATAAATACCAGAAGAGTATGAACAAATATTGTTTCAAATTTCGTCGATAATTTCGATATAATTCAAAATTTAACAAATGTGTTCGCAGGTCGCATCGAGCCAATTCCGCCTCTTCTCCAGAACATCGTCGATCATTTGATCCAGTGGCGTTTACTTCCGCAGGAACGGAAGCCAAACGGCTGTATCATAAACTTCTTCGACGAGGTCGTTCCACACACACATTTCTTACAATCTCGATTTTCTTCAGCAATTTATTTGCTTCCGGTAATAACGCAGGGGGAGTATTCTCATCCTTTCTTAAAACCACCCCACCTGGAGCAGCCTATTTCAACCCTACTCTTGTCCGAATCCACCATGGCTTTCGGACATACGCTCACGAGTGACGGCGAAGGGAATTACCGAGCGCCTCTCACACTATGTCCGAAAGAAGGGTAATGTACAATAGAAACATCTGTAAATTTCGCTCTCAACTTTAAAAACGTCTTAAATCCGAAACATTTCGACAGGTCTCTCTTAGTCATGAGAGGAAACAGCGCAGACACGGCAAGACACGTAATGTGTTCATCCCCGAACAAGCGAGCAAGCGTCACCTTTTTCAAGCTCAGGGGGGAAATCGAAACCAGTCCGAACCATCCGTCATCGAAAGCGATGACGCTATGGCAAGGTACTACTCCCCAAGCAGCATGTACAATTCCAAACAAATTCGGGCCAATGACTATGATCCCGAAATGGGGCATCCTCCGAGCGCCTATGGTAATGTTAGCCCCCGTGCGCCCGGTCGCTCTATACCCTAAAAGGATCGACCGTGGTGGCACGGGGGTTTTCTTACCATGGGGGGTCGGATCTCGCAAGCATGCGAGGCACCTACCGCCCCGCGCCCAGAGGAGACGGCTACTAGCTCTGCCGTCCCCGGGCAGACAAGACGCGACTTCCGAATCGGGAGCCAACAGTTCGTCGTAAAAACAACTGTTGTTGTAAGTTTTATGTTTCAGTGTGCTTTTTGCCTATCGCTTCTTTAGCGTACATTGTTTGCTACATCCTAGGCTTGTCATGACGGCTTTTTGCGGGTTTCTAGTCCTATAGAAGATATGATTGAGCACGTGTATCGATGTTTTTATCCGTAAGGGATATTTTCGGTGAGGTTAAGGATGAAGGTTTTCGTTTCTTATCTTATCTTTTCGACCATTATTACTATGCTTCGAGCTTTATCTACTACAATCGAGCCTACTTGACTCGATAACCAATTTCAACTACGAGAAACAATAGGTTCATGAATAGTAATGACTTTCATGAATGGTAATAGTACCATTTTTACTATTTTCGTACGTCTCACTTCAAAATATCATTTTCTTATAATAATACACCAATACTAAAATTGACTTTTTACCTAAATTACACACATACCATTACACATGCACGACATATAATAACAATCTACACATCACATGTTGTATTAATTGAAGTCGATTAGGGCTAATAAGCACTCAAACCATTCCCAACAGCAATCACATTAAACCAAACATACAAACGAACAAGTTCAATTTCGGACATAGAAAGAAACAAAACAAACCAACTATATATATATATAAGAAAGGAAAGAATGATATAAACTCCATTCGTCGAATTTATGTACTTACTATAGATCGACCATGCAATCGACCAATTACATCAAGCTTTTGTCTGCACCTCCTCGTCCTCAATGTCCCAATTCAAATCCTCGTCGTCATCTTCCATAGCATCCAACCGTTTTCGCAACTCATCCTTATTTCTACTTCCATCGCCGGCACCAGCAGGAGCCTTTTGGTCTTCGTCGCTTCCAGTGTTCCCGATTTCATCCCAACCCATGTCCTCCTCCTCTTCCTCCGCCACTCCTCCGCTCGACACGGCCGGAATGTTGTCGCCGGATACGACCTTCTCATCATTACTACCCTTCTCTTCAACAGTTTCTTCTACAGGCTTCACAACTTCCTCTGCCATTTTCACTTCTGTAGCTTCTTCGAGCTTCGTTTCCTTATCTGTCGAAGAAGAATCCGAACTATCATTCACTTTGTCGTCTACTTTGCCGTCGTCGCTTCCTCCCTTCACTTCTTTTGATGCACTGCTCCGATTGCTAATGGAATCGCCGGCATTGTCGTTCTCTTCGTCGTCATCGACTTCCCACGTCAATTCGTCGTCGTCGTCCTCGACTGAAATTGCCCTCTGCATAAGGTTAGCCCTAACCTTCTCTTGCTGCTTGAGCTTATCCACCCTGTAAAAGTATCTGCACCAAAATGTGCCATGATCAACCTCATTTGGAACGATCTGTTCATGGAGGCTCTCCAGAACTCCATTTTCCCCAATTAAAGTATCAATTTCTTCCCTGTGATCATCCAATTGGAACCCTAATTTCCACTTTCCGTACTCCTCGGCATTCTCCGGTTCTTCGCAGAAAGTGCTCAAATCATTCTGAATCGCACTCAGTTGCGCCTCGAACCAACTGTACCGGCCGGCGGGGAAGCTCCGGTTGGACTCCGGCGTGTCAGACTCCTTCTCCGGCGAAAAAATCGTCGATTCCTTCGCGATTATGTCGGCCGTCGATTTCAGCACTCCGTCGAGGGCGCCGTGAGCAACCGAAGCTGTGGCCTCCAACGACGCCGGGAGTTCCTTCACCGCTCGGCTCGCGGTCTCCCGGAATATCTCGCTCTCCTTCCTCAGACCTAGCCCGAACTCCTTCAGGTCCTTACGGTACGTCTCGATCACCGATTCAGATTGAACGCTCAAAGTCTTGATCAAATCTCCGAAACTCCAACCATCGCCGACGCCGTTCGAATTACCTTCTGCCGCTGCCGCTGCCGCCGACGGCGACGACGACGAATCGCCGCCGGATTCATGACTATTACCACTTTTCGGTGATTCCTCGTCGTCCGCGAGAATCGATCTGAAGAAATTCATGGTAAGATCCGCAGATTGGAACAAGTCAGAGTTAGGGATTTCAGATTTCGTCGGTCGTCGATTGATGAACACCGTTCGCTCCCCCAACCACCCATAGGCCATAGCCTTCAGATATTGGGCCTAACAGGCCCAATAACATCGGCCCATTGGCCCAATTATAAAAGCGCGTTTCCAAAATAACCTACAACCGTTTTCCTAAAGTCGCTATTGCGATTTTTGCTTCCACTCGTTGTTTCTCAACGAATGGCTGCAACAAGAGATGCCAATTAAGCCGCCATGGCTGTTCCTGTTAGAGATTCTTTCTCAAAAAAAGAAGGATAAAATTATCTTCTTGCAGACCAAAAGATTCAGTGATTACAGCTCTTTTTCTATCCATACGAAATGTACTCCGTTTGGAATAATTTTGTTGGTTTTTCCAGCTATATGCTAAAATTTATATATAATTATTTAATAACAAATTATTCTACTTTCACAGCTCCAATTCCTTATACTTAATTTGCTATTTTTTTTTCATTTTTTTTTTTTTTTTGTCCTTAGTATCTATTAAAAGGAAGTGATATATAAATATAAAAATACTTTTAAATTTTACAAATATATTCATTTACTTTATATTTGTAAGTACAAAAATATTAATATTACTCTCACCGTCTCTTAAGTAAGTATTCGTTTATTTTTTGCACGGAATCAAATATATATTAGTACTCCCTCCGTCCCACATACCATGTCTACGTTGTTGCTCCTGTCCGTCTCACGTACTATGTCACATTCCTTTTTTGGAAAATGATTACGCACTTTAATCTTATTTTAAAATTTTTAATTTTTTTTTTTAAATTTTAATTAACTAATTAGTTATCTTAATCTTAATTTATAATTATATATATTATCGGATAATTATTTTCACTAATACATTCTTAATTATATACTTAATTACACCCCTCCTAAAATACTGTGTCTACAGTGTATGTGGGACGGAGGGAGTATTATATTGATATAAAAGTAACGATATTTGTGTAATATACTTTAAGTCGTATAAATATTTGTAATATTAGATAGATAGTACAGTTACTAAAAAAAATAGATACTTTGTTACGGGACAAACCAAAATGAAAAAATAAATAGTTTATCGAGGAACATATGAAGTATTTCATTTGTATTCGTAAATACATAAATATTAATATTTTTTTTCACATTTTTAATAATTAATAAGTACATCCCGTCATGTGGGGTGTACTCGTAATCGTGACATTGTAGGTTCAAAATCTCCGCGTCTTCGAATCTAAGTTTGGCCTGGATTTACCCATAACGCACTAAAAAAATAACGATGACGAACTCTCACATCATAATAGATACTTTAAAATTTATAAATAGTACTTCGTCTAATAGGTTAGACAAAGTATATAGTATATTTATATGTTAGGATTGTTCAATAACAAAATAATTATTTCAAAAATATTCTATTTTTTCCCGCAAATATCTTACTTTACAATCTCATCATTACATTGACAAAAATTTTAACTACCAATTATAATAAAAATATTATTATGTTTTTAAAACTTTACATTTGTTTGGGGATTGAACTTTAAATACATTATTCATCATATTCCCCCAAAATCAAATCAAACAGCTATTCAATTTTACATTCAAAATATCACATCAACACCTATTTCTATTTATATCGCATCATACAACAATTCAAATTTAAAATTTTTACTATTCAAATCCAAAACCAGTACATATAAACTCGTATTAGTTGGACAGATTAGTGTAAAAACTAAATCAAATCACCCAAACAAACACACCCGAACTTTATGGAAAGATAGAGACATCCTCTGTTGTCAAACAATGATAAGTAGATCACTTTCTAATGTTTTTACTACACCTTTCACTTAACTTCATTCATTCATAACTTGTCATCATCTCCTAAAATGAACACTATTTCTCCTCCTCCTCCGCCGTCGTCGTCGACCGGTGTTTTCAAAAGGCTGATGAAATTAGTTCTGACTCTACTGACCAGATCATCGTCCCGCCGCTCGATTCCGGTGCCTATCGAACCCGGATCGCCGAGAAACGGCGCCGGGCGTCGCGGTCACGTGAGTAACGATGTAAGCGTCGAGTTCCGGCACGTGGTCGACGATTGGAGCAGCCATGTTGCGAAGGATCAGACGGGATTCTCTCCGAAAGGCGTCGATATGAAGGAGAGGATCGGAGGCCGTCTCGCGGCGAATTTTGATCGGACGGAAATCCCGATCGCCGGAGATGATCGCTCGACGAAAATCGAAGCGGCGACGTCGGCGAGAACGGCGGGAAGATTAATGGAAGTGATGCCGCACATAAATGAAAAATGTGAAGAATTCATAAAGAAGAAAATGAGGGAGCTAAGGAGTGTGACGTCAGATTCCGAGGAATCTAATAAATAGTTTGCTTTGAGGGTAGGCTTGATTAATATGCTTCTTTTTATTATACTAAGGGATTTGATTTTATTGAATAGATACTATATATATAAATTTATGTATGTATGTGTGTGATTCATTTGGTACAATAATTGACTAAGGGAAGCTGCAACTCATTTATAATATTTCATCCATCAATTTAAATTTATTTTATTTTATTTTTCTTGTCATTTAAATTTATTTTTATTTTTTAATAAAAAATTACTATTTTTTTTTACCCAAAAAAGTAAAACTTTTTATTTTTATCGTTTTTCTTTAAAATCTGTATTCGATCAAATGAACTTACAATTAGACGAGAGAAGGAGTATACTGCCAAAGCTTTGATATTCCAATAGTTTTTTTTTTAATTTTTTTTTCCATACCATTTTTAATATTCTCTCCGTCCACAAACTAATGTCCTATTTTTCTATTCCGGACGTCCAACAACTATTGTCCTATTTTTTTTTTTAAACACAAATTTTATATTTTTACCTTCAATTCATTTATTGCATTTAATCTCTACCATACAATTAAGGGCAAATTTGTCAATTCATTAAAAAAAAAAAAGACAATCAACTAAAAAAACTGCGCAAATATACTTTAGAATAATAAAAATTGGACGGAGGGAGTATATACTCTCTTATATCTTTTTTTTGGGTCGTATTTCTTTGAAATTATATAGTAAATTAAAAGAAAAAAATGCTATTGGTTAGTAGAAGTGTGTAATTTTTTTTTATATTTTTATTATTTGACTCTAGGTATAAAATAATTGTATATGTAATAATATGTCCCTGATACAAACGAAAATGGAAAAAAAGTATTTTGAATTGAAATATAGTGAGTAATATATATATATATATTTATGTTTAAATTTTTTAGTAAATAATAAAATGTTAGATAAAATATTTCAAAAAACATAATTGTGAATTTTTATATTGAAAAAAAAATTGATACATTTTAATTATATAGAGATTATTATTGATTTTTTTAAATTTTAATTATATCAATTAATTTATTTTTTTTTAAAAAAAATATAACAAAAAACACAATTCTAAATAAAAAAAAACTATACACAACTAGATAAAATTAAATAGGAATACGTGATAATTATACGTACCAATATTATGTCCAAATCCATATATTATGTCTATATCATTAATTTTCGTTAGTTTATAAGAAACTAAAATGAATTGAAATTAATTATAATACGATTAAAATTAATAATTTTACATTTTGATTACATTGACATTAAAATAATTTTTTTTCCTCTTATTTTAAATATAAGATCTATATGATAAAAAAAAATAAAATAAATCAATAGCATAAGTATTATCTAAATTTTAATAATCTTTTTGTCCAATTTACTATATTTATATTATCATTTTTGTTCATCTCACATCTCGTGTTATTTTATTTTTTTTGAAAAATAATTAGTTATTTTAATTTTTTTTTAAAATTTTTTAATTTTAATTAAATTTATCTTAACTTATAATAATTTATATTATAGCTTAATTATTTTTATAATATATTTTTAATTATCTAACCTAACCAAGATACCCATTATTGGACGAAGAGGAGTAATATATTTACATACGACATTTCCGGTAAAAAGAAGCCGACAATCCACAAGGACATAGCAATTATTCAGCTTCCTCAATTTAAATAGGGTGGTAGGAGTATTTGAAGTAATCAAGCCCTAATTTCGGCGGCAAAGCAGTTCGTCGTCGTCGTCTTCTTCTCTCAGTAGGGTTGTCTTCGACAGCGCGCGGATGTGCGACAAATTGGTAAGTCTAGTCGGTCTTCCCTTTCCTACTTTCTTTACGCCTCTAAATGAAACGCAGGAAGAGTGAGAATCGTTCAAGCACCTACAACAATTTTGCCACGTTTCTTCCTCTGTTGTTTCAATTTCATGTCGGGGATGTTTTCGAGAAATTGCTGACCTTTTTCTGTTTCAGAGGCGCAGATAGATTGTTTGTTTTGCTAATTATGTCCATTGATTAGGTTGTTGATGTTTACGGCTAACCGTGGTTTAGAAGGGTTTTGAAATCTAGGTTAAGAATTTTGCCCCCTGCCGATCGAGATGAGACATTTGCAGTTGTCGTTGAACAAAGGCCAGAAACTGAGGCTGGAGAGAGCATTGGAGCAGTTGGAGTCGCTCTCATCCAAGGCCAATTCCGATGCTTCTGTTACTGTTGCGGATGACATTCCCGTCAACTATGAAGATGCCATCCTCAAGTATATATATATATATATATAATTGTTGTATTTTATTAGTTTAAAATTATGTTTGAAATTGCTTTCATGTTGGACTAAATTTGCTTGATTAAAGGGGCCACGGCACAGCGGAGATGGATGGTAGAGTGGTGGCGACACTATGTGGAGTTGTAGAGCGTGTCAATAAGCTCGTTTACGTTCGTTCTTTGAGGGCTAGGTCAAGTTTCAGTTCTATTTTCCGAAGCAAAAAAACTCTAGTTAATTTATAAAACAATGGGGATGATTTAACTTGCCTGACTTTCTTGATTTGATTGTCAAGCATAGGTACAAACCGGAGATCGGTGATATCATAATTGGCCGAGTTCTTGAGGTGAAAGAGAGATAGCCATTAATCTGCTTAGTTTGATATTAAGCATAATCGATTCTATTTGAATGAATATTAAACTTTCTCCCATTTGATCTCTTTCATTCATCTCTATTTCTATCATTAAACTTTCGGGCTTTTATGATTAATCAGAATTCCATCACTATATTTTGAGCACGTCGTGCTTACTTCTGTTTGTAAAGGTTGCGCCTAAGCGTTGGAGATTGGAGATCAATTTCAGCCAAGATGCCGTGCTGATGCTTTCTTCGATGAACTTACCTGACGGTATCCAGGTATCATTCAATGCTGCAACTTTCCATAAGCATCTTAATTGGTGTGTAAGAGAGCTTTATGAGAGGCCAAAATTATGGTGGTTTATGCGAACTTTAATGCGCAACAGCGACGTAGTTACGTGAATGAATATTTGATGTCATGCTAATGCTGCATTCTCTGTCTCTCTAACATCTTGGTGTTCATCTCACTCTTCAATCTCATGTTGTATAACAATAGTTTCCCGGACTTTTAACAATATAAACAAATTTGATACGTAGAAAAACCTATCATATTGAATTCGGAGCAAAGTTGCAATAGTTTAGATTATTAGCGTGGTATGTTGTTAACTATTGTGTTAGAATATGAAATCTGAATTCTCTATTTTAATCGTAAGAAATCCTATATATTTATAGTGCTATACATATCGTCTAAATAAGTCTAGAACCTTGAAAATCTCACAAATAAGGCTATTATCATAGTTATAGTATATAAAAATATCTTATAAATATATATCGTAACACATTGCTGACTACACTGTTTAGGATTGATTTTTTTTTCATATGTTTGCTTGTTAGGTGACATGTTTTGTAAAACCTGCCTGCTATAATATAGTGATTTCTCAAAAGGTTATCCTGTTGTGGTCTATACCTGCTCGTAATTTAATTGTCGATTGTAACAACCATACAGTAAACATGGTTTTTTTTTTTTTTTTTGCTTATGCTCGCTCTGGTTATACAGTCGATTCAGTAACCAATAAACAATGTATTTCCAAACACATTCTAAAAGGTTTTTTCTTTTTTTTTTTTTAACCTGATTTAAAATTTTGATTTTCAGAGACGACGAACAGCAGTGGATGAACTCAACATGCGCAGCATATTTGAGGAAAACGATGTCATCTGTGTACGTCGCTTTGTCTTCACATTTTACTTTCTTATTCTCTCGCAAAGGTCTTAACAATTCATACTCTCTATTCAGGCTGAAGTTCGCGGATTCCAGCACGACGGCGCCCTACATTTACAAGCAAGAAGCCAAAAGTACGGAAAGGTGTGTCATCAAATGCAGCCATTGAAATCCAACATAACTTTTTATCTATCTACAACTTTAATTTAATCGTATTTCCCTTACACTCACAATCTTTCGACTTCTCGTTTTCTTACAGCTCAAAACAGGCCAACTGCTCACGATCCCTCCTTATCTCGTGAAGAAGCGCAAGCAGCATTTCCACTACCTCGACCAGTACGGAATTGATCTCATACTGGGCTGCAACGGATTCATCTGGGTCGGGGAACACGTCGAAGTGAAAGATGACATGGTCGAAGACGTGTTGGAGAAGTCTCCGGAGCCCCAAAATGCAAAGCCTTGTAATACGCCCGTCGACAAACCGCTAGAAGAGACTCGGACACCGCTCGCGACTAGACAAAACATATGCCGAGCAGCTAATGCTATACGGGTACTTTCTACGCTAGGCTTCACGATCACTGTAGAAATCATAATGGAGATCGTTGACCTGAGTATCTCTTCGAGCGTCGACATACATGAAATGCTTGGCGCCGAGTTCTATGTTGTAGTCGCCGAGAATGAAGCTGCGCAACGGTCGTCGTCGTCGAGAAAGAGGTGATTTTTTTTTTTTTTGAATACATACATAAGACAAGTTTTTTTTGGTGCTATAGAGATCTTCTGCTGAGGAAGGTATTGTCATAATTTTGTAAGATCATCCATTCTGTGTTCATTCACAAGGTTTTTGTATTCAGCTCATAATATTGGAGAGAGATCAAACATGCATTTTTATTTAAATATTTTTAATTTGTTTGCCCAACAAAAAATATTTTCTATATATAATATGTATTTTAATTTTTTACAAAAAACATTAACATTTAATAATTCAATGTAAGATATTAGCATGTGTTTTTTTTTCTTTTGGTTTAATAAGTTTGTGTAGTATATTACTCCCTCCATCCTTATTTATATATTCATCGCGGAGTTTTAGAAATATTAGTATTATCAGTCCCATAATGTAATAAAAATAAAAAAGCAGAAGTAGTTTTATGGTGGTGATATGGATATTTATGGAAATAATACTATTGTTTTGGAACGTAGAAATAAAGTTAAATATACTAAACTAGTATTGTAAATTGAAATTGTATTTGTAATGTTATGAAAATAGTACAATTACTAAAAAAAAATAAATATTTTGTTACGTTACATACTAAATAAATAGATAGATTGTTAAGTCACAGTGAAAATTTAGAAGTTTGAAAAAAAAAAAGTGAATTTTTTTTTTTTAAAAAATAAATAATGTCAAATGTACGAAAGTGTGCTTTGTAATAATAATCCAAAAGTGGAATTTTGAGGCTACACTCTAAATAAAATTAATTAGTGGTGTGTTTATTTTGGAAGATATTTTATTGATTTTTAGTATTAATACAAAAATCTTATTTAAAAAACACAAAATAATGGCCTAAGGCACTCAAATCGGCTCATAGGCCCAAATAATTGTGAAATGACAGAAAAGCCCATCTGGTGCACCACCCGGCGCCACGCTCGTGGATCAATGCACGCACTACGTACATGCGTCGTTCGTGAGTTCCATTCCCAGGCTTCTTCAATCACACCTCATGTCACGGGAAAATTCAACCCCTGGAGCTGGATCGCTTCTATCGAATCAATTTTGGTGCAACTGAGAATGAATGAATGCACCGCACCAGTGATCGAATCACGGTTTCCGTTACATTTCTTCTCTGCAAGTTTTTTATTGATATTTGATATCATATCAGAGATTTATTAGGTATTTCTAGAATAATTCGCTACACTGAATCGATAATGCGTTCTTCCTGCGGATTCGTGATGGTTCTTTAATCAATGCCGCCGAAAAGATAATGAGATTGAATTGTAGAACGTGGCGGTAATGGCAAGCGTTTTACGCGGGTTTGTGTTGCCTACGCTGCTTTTGACAGGTGTGAAATCCGATTGTTAATTTACTTTCCATTTATCATCTTGTTCCTGTAAATTTCTTGGATTAATTATTCAAGATTTTAGTGCGACATGTTTGATATGATTTCCACCATGTGTTTTATTCCATTACTAGAAATGGTAATGAATTATCTTGACCTGTTGATATGCTACAATATTTCTTTAAGAGAGTTTCAAATGGAGAAGGTTTTTCCACCTGTTGAGAGAAAAGAAAACCATGTTTATAAAGAGAAAGGTCATTACAGCAGCTAAAGAGTTTGTTTCTCCTTGAAAGAGATTTTAAGATCAATGTTTGAGGCAGATAAATTTTATGAAAATATCTCACTGTAGATCCTCATTGCTGTATCATGTATCCCGGACTAAAGTATCATCATTCTGCAAGGAATTACTTTCTGCTTTTGGTGATAACATCTGATTATAATATTCTATTTTGTTGTGACAAAATCGACTAATTTTTGCAGCTGGTTTATTAAACTGGAGTTTGATATCTTTCATTAATTTAGTGATCTCTCTTCTCCTCCGGTATACCTCCCATAAAAGAGGTAATATTTTGCAAACGTTTCCTCCCTAGATTATCCTGCCCTTAATAAAATTGTTATTTGAAAGTGCTAATATTCAGGGTTCTGAAGGAATACTTTAACTTGGCATTCAAATCAATTCACCATGGCAACATTTTTTTTGTATCTAACCAACTGATGGCTTTTATTTAGCTAACTATTAATTATTATTCTGAAATTTCTGCAGGATTTTTATTCAGAGAAAGGGTTCTATCTTCATGGATTGTTTTCATATACTCAACATTTGTGGTAATTGTGCAAGTGATCTTTCTTATTGTATGCACTACTCTGGATTTACGACGGAGGAATGCAGATGCCTCATGGATAAAGATATTAGGACTTATGAAGTGAGAATTTTCTTATTCCAACTTCATAGTTTCTTGATTTTCCAAAATATGATAACTTGAAAGAATGCCAATTTCTTAGACAACCAAGCATAAGGTGCATTTCTGAACTTCAGATTGTAAATATTTATGAACCATATAGAAGTGCAAACCTGTGTGACTTGGAAAGAGAGACAGAGAATCACACACTACTTTGAAGTTTGAAGTCCAGCACAGGTTGACAACAAATTCCAATCTGACATCTTGTCTCAATCTAAAACAGAGTTCCACAAAATTAAAAATGGCAGCATCAGAGAGAGTTGTTTGTATGGCAATTACTGTGTGACAAATAAGGAGAAAAAATTATGGTGGAGAAATTCTAAACAAAGGAGTGCAAGGGGCCAAATTTAATTGTTGTCATATTTCTTAAATGATGCTTAGATATATGCTTCCGGGTTGGAATGAACATCCCCATGCTCATCCCTATCATAAAGTATATCAAATTATCAGTAACTTTTTGTTATTCGATGCTTTTGCAGGGTCCAATCCTGGAGATCACCCAATGCTGTTTACTTCTTGTTTGTAGAATTATTAGTGGCAGTTGTTGCTCTCATTGAGATCCACAGGAACAAGTTCGGATTAATAGAATTTCAAGGTTCCTTCTGGGGCTTCCAAGATTCTTTCTGGGGACATTTGTCATCCATTTCTAGAAAAATAGGTTAGATGAAATTTTTACTGTAACCTCATTGGTTTTTAAAGTAACCAGTAACTTTCAAATAAATGAGTGAAGCTTCATTTAAAACATACTTTCTCAGTTCTATGAAAGTTGGGGGGAGTTTTTATTCATTGAACTGAAAAGGTGACTTTGATCATAACTTGCAATAGGGGACAACAATAAGAGCTACTTACAAGTCTTGTTCATACTTTCAATGTTAGTTGGGTTAGTTTAAAATGATAGTAATCATATCATGTTGTATGGTGCCTGAAAATGAAAAAAGATAATCACAATAATAAAAATCAAGTCATCGAGCACTAAGGATGAATACTAAATTAAGTGCATTTTATTGCTTAACTGGCTAAACGAACTTCTATATATAAGTTGTTTATTTACCCATAAAATTTAAAATAGGAACTTCATCAATTTTGGTAACCTCATGTATTCTTATACTTATTTGTAGTCATTAAAAATTAATATTTAGATTTATTTGTGAAATAATAATTTTCAAATAATATATAGTATTCTTTTATGATCTTATTGCTTTTCTTACTTTGTGAGGCTATTGTCTTAGCTATTTTGAAATACAAAATTTCTTCTTCGTATTGCTACCTATGTTTTGTTGGCGTAGGAGATCAGCAACACATAGCTAATTTTTACTTTCATCTTATTTAGTTTTAATTTTAACAAATGTGCTTGCATCTTGATTTCATGCTTATGCCTTTTTCATTTTATAAGGTTATCGCCTCAGGTTTGCTTCCTGCTTATTGCTTCCTGTTGTCCAGTTGGCATTGGGGATCAGCAATCCTTCTTGGCTGTCGTTACCATTTTTTATTTGCAGCTGTATTGGTCTTGTTGATTGGTCACTAACGAGCAACTTTTTAGGTCTATTCAGGTAGTTCATCTATTCCGCTGCTTGTCCTCCTTTCCAAGGATATAATCTAACAACTAACAATACAAAGTGTTATGCATAATTTCTCTTCAAAGCTTATGTTCTTATACATGACTTGAAGGTGGTGGAAGCTGCTTTGGGTGTATGCTGGCTTTAGCATTTGCCTACTTTATGTGTATCAGCTCCCTGTTGGGCTTCCGCATATGATTCAAACATTCTTTGGCTCAATTGGTCTATATAAAGTATCAGTTGATTCTGACTGGCAAAAAATTTGTTCCAGTACTTCTCTCATGGTGTTTTATTATATGGTATGCTTTTGATATATAAATCTCCAACTCAACCTCTAGTTTCCCACACTCCCACCAACTTGCAAGCATTAGTTTGAGACTTAGTATTGATTTTTTTGTTTTTTTTTTTTTAATTGATGATAATTATCAGTCTCATTTGTATCTCACACCTTCTATTTTCATCTGTTATAAAAATTCATGTTTTAATTCACAGTCCAATTTCCTTTCTTGGTTTTAAGAGTCTGTGGACCTTCATCAAGTAAGCATCCAATATGATTACAATCTAATTAAGAATTCAGCATTCTCGCCCCTTAAATGGACTCCATTTTCTTGTCTTCCAAATCAAATCGTATCATTCTTTGTCTATATTCACGTGCATGACGTGATGTCCTAACTATCATTTTGAAAGTTCGCCAGTTTTTGTGACACAAAAGACGATTGATTGATGATATATGCTGATTTATTTATTTTTTCTATTACTGGATATGCTGGAGTATGTTTCTTTTCTCCTTTCAATCACATTTTTTCCCCATTATATACTTTCATACTTCCGTTCTAGCTTTCTTTTTGTGATGATTTTATCCACCATCTGTATCCCACGTTACAGGCAATGCTCATTTGTTTCTTGAAAATATTAATGGGTATAAAATAAACAATTATTGTGTCTCAGTTATTGGAGAAAATGACAAATTTTGCTATCCACTAAAAATGACTGTTGTCTAATAATGTATTTTGGAATACCATAATTGATTATGAAGTATTTATGCAGCTTTCCTTTGTAAGGCGTGATTTGGAAGATATGGAATTCATCATGTCTTTAGGAGAAGACAGCTTAACTGAGCGACTTATTCCCCCAAGAAGTACCATTTTTGTTCATCAGCTTAGGTGAGCAATGCTTCTTTTTTCCCCACATGAAAGCTCTTAAGAGAAGATTAAATAGGATAAGTGCAATTTATAACAGATTAAGATGCCTAACCCCTAAAGGACTCCTTCAAACATAAAAAACCAAACCTGAAAGATTCCTATCAAAATTAAAATAGTACTAATCTTAGAATTCATCTTACTATCCTTCACCAACCCATCTCCCTTTAAATTAGCCTTGTCTCCCCAAGGCTGAAATGAGAAAATTGTGTTGCTAGTTTGGTCGTGTCCATCCAGTGTCGTATTCCCCCCTTGTCCATATCATTGTCACCTTCTGTCATTTATGATACTTGTGAATGCTAATTGTGTTTATAACATAAAAATTATTCAAATACGGTGCCTAAGGAATAGTGGAGACAAAATACACACAAAGATTTTATGCTTCTGTTCTAATACTAACACCTACCCCAACAGATATCAACATATTTATCTGCAGATAATTAATTTGTTTTGAACAACCATATGCCCCAAGTACAATTTATGACATATTATCTTCACAAATTTGTTACCTTGGTTTTCTTGTTTGTAGGTCAGGTGTAAGGCACACAAACATTTTATTGAAGGGCCCAGTTTTCAGGCATTTTAGTATCAATTGGTTTACTTATGGTTTCCCGGTATGTATTTTTCAACTTAATGTTGTTCTTGTGTTTCTTAATTTGAACTATATCCCTTCTATACATTACGTAGATACTTTCATAACATTGTGAATTCTTTTACTCAGATTTACAGTCATAAACTGAATTATTTATTTATGTTCTTAAATACTATGTAATTTTGAATGCTAATAGTTAAATTTTTCGCGTTTGATTAACTCTACTAGATTACATAATAAAATTTCAGATTTAAACATGGCAGATATCCTTGTTCACTCTTTCATATTGGAGCTTCCATTTTGCAAGTATATGTGCATTTGGATTACTTGCATATGTTGGATATGTTTTTTATGCTTTTCCATCCTTGTTCCAATTGCATCGGCTGAATGGACTGCTGCTCGTCTTCATTCTCTTGTGGGCCGTGAGCACATACATTTTCAATGTGGTTTTGGGCTGCATGAACTGGAAACTTGGGAAGGTACTTTCTCGTCTTGTTATATTGAAGTTGATTTGTTAGGTATGAATTCAGTATGGTTTAATGAATGTTCTATTTCTACTTAGGATATGGAGATCTGGGAGATGGTTGGATTATGGCACTATCCTATACCTGGGTTTTTCCTCCTAGCACAATTCTGTCTTGGAATTCTTGTAGCCCTTGGTAACCTTGTAAGCAATTCAGTATTTCTGTGTATTTCAAGTGAGGAAATGCAAGTCACTAGTGAGAATGAATCTGAGAAGGGTAAGAGATTCTTCTTTATCCACCATTAGCAATTTGATATTGTATTGGAAAACTCAAAAGGCTGCTCTTCATACTTCATGTTATGTTCTGAGATGAACTTGCCTTAAAGTAAGTTAGTAATCTTTTGACAAAAAATGCTTGCTAGTATATCATAGTTGCAATTTTCTATTTCAACTCGAGTTTTCTTCTTCAATTGTGTCAATATATTCATAGATGCTGCACATGTGGATCTTGCCTGAGTCAAGTTTTGGCCTTTTAGTAAATTTAGTTGTTATTTTGGGCGCAATTTGGACATCAATTATAAACATTGACTAGGTTCATGATTTCATGTCTTCTTAACCGTCAGATTTTCTCAATTCTAGTTGTCAAATATTTTCAGTTTGCACCTCAATTTACAATTTTCTAACTAAGTTTCTCCTCATCAGATGAAAGGGACCTATTGTTTTTACTGTCACTATCCAGGAAGACACGTTTCTTATTGTACTAGTGTACTCCTCTAGCTATTGTTGTTGGTGCTGCAAATTATTTTTCTGGTGAGTCAAACTGATTTTTATGTAAACATTTATTTTCTCCCTGCTAAATGTTTACTTGCAGAGAAAGAAGATGCTAAGGTCATAGTGGTGGCTACTATTGCTTGGGGGCTGCGCAAATGTTCTCGGGCAATCATGCTGTTGTTAATTTCTCTAATTGCTTCAAAACCTGGCCTCTTTCATGCTTCTTACAGTATGTGAAATTCTTATGTCATTACTTCACAGGAACTTTTTCCCTAATGATCTAGTATACAACACCTTATGCTGCATTGTAATCCTTCCTCAATGTTCTGATTTTCTTCTTCTTTTTTTTTTTTTTTTTTTTTAATCAATTATGTATTCATTTCAGTGATATTCTTCTTTGCATATCTACTTAGCCATAAAGTTGAAAAAAGGATGCGCCAATCCCTTGTTCTTCTGTGTGAGGTTCATTTTGCCATTTTGTACATTCTTCAATTTAATCTGGTCACCAGAAAACTGGAAAGAAAGGATTCTCTGACTTTTGGTGTGCTACAACAGTTAGGTGAGAGTCTTCTTGGTTTGATATCTCTCTCTCATTTTCTGATTATTGAAGACAGTTTTTACTCTTCTACTAACATTTTTTTTGCACTTGACTATGAAATTTGTAGGTCTCCTTAAAAGTGATCATTCTTGGGACTTCCAGGAAATAGCTTTTCTGTTGTGTTTTTGTGCCATTCATAACCATGGATCTGAAATGCTGTTCTCTTTTTCTTCAATTGTTCAGCACACACCTTGCCCTCCAATAGGGTTTAGCATCCTAAGAGCTGGCTTAAACAAATCTGTTCTGCTGTCCGTTTATGCCACCTCCAACGTCAATGACAATTATATGAGTGGTTCGCATGGTACTATAATCTTATCCAAGGGTATATTGTTAACATTTTCCTTTTGGTTTGCATATAGTTAAATCTAGATTTATTTTCCTAGTTTATTTAGATAAACTAATGCATGGAAATATTGCAACCTTCATTCCTTTTATCAACAATTTGGTTATGGTTTATTCAAGTATTTTTTACATATGTATTTTCTTGTATTACAGAGAGAATGGTATCACTATATCTCAATGCAATCGCAAGGAAGATCTTGTCCACATATAGATCATTTGGAACCTATATCTCATTTCTCACCATTCTTATTGCGGTGTATCCAGTAAAGCCTAATTACGTATCACTTGGTTACATTTTTTTTCTACTTTTCTGGCTCGTTGGAAGACAACTTATTAAGAGGTCAAGACGATGTCTTTGGTTTCCACTCAAAGCTTATGCAATTGCAGTTTTCGTTTTTATATATATCCTAAGTACTTTCCCCACTTTTAAGATGTGGATGTCTACAAAAGTTGACCTATGCATATTATCTGGTTATGATACTGAAGCTTCTGTGGTAGAAAATATTTGGGAGTCATTGGCAGTTATGATTGTCATGCAAATATATAGCTATGAAAGAAGACAGAGCGAACACTTGAAATCTGAAGATCCAAATCCATTGCAGCTGGGGATATTGGGGTTTGTTAAAAGGTTTTTGATCTGGCACAGTCAAAAGATTCTATCTATCACCCTGTTTTACGCATCTTTATCTCCGATAAGTGCTTTTGGTTTCTTGTATCTTCTTGGCCTGATATTTTGTTCGGCTTTTCCTAAAACCTCCAGAATCCCATCTGTACTATTCTTAATTTATACTAGTTTTCTGGTAATGCTTGAATATTTATTTCAGATGTGGGGTAGAGCGGCAATGATGTTTCCTGGGCAAAAGTACCATGATTTGTCTGTGATACTGGGACTGCAGCTATATGGACCAACTTTTGTGGGTCTTGAATCAGGCTTGAGGGCAAAAGTGCTTGTGATAGTTGCATGTACACTTCAGTACAGTGTGTTCCGCTGGTTGGATCAAATTCCTAGTTCTCTTTTGAACTTAGGTGGATCACAGGAACCTTGTCCCTTATTTATTTCGGAAGAACATATCTCTAGATTGGTTTCAAGTGCTGATGGGTATAATAAGACTCTGTCTGAACCCCTTGAGCAGTCTGCGCAAAGGATGGATCAAGGCTATTCACGGCCATCTTTTAGGTCTCGCATTTATCAACTATCTAAAAACTTATCCTCTCACATAAATTATCATGATGGTGGCAACCAAAAGCAGTCATTCGATGTAATCTGGGGAACCACAAGGGGAAGTCACAAGTTGGAAAGAAAGAGAACTGTCGCCCTGCAACAGGAGAGATTTGAAATGCAGAAGAAAACGCTGAAAATTTATTTGAAGTTTTGGGTGGAAAACATGTTCAACCTATTTGGCCTTGAGATCAACATGATGGCCCTGCTAGTAGCAAGTTTTGCTTTGTTAAATGCCATTTCCATGCTTTATGTTGCATGTCTCGCTATTTGCATCATGTTGCCACGTCCTACAATTCGTAAAATGTGGCCAATACTAGTCTTTGTGTCTGCTGCCATTCTTCTGTCAGAATATGTAGCGATGTGGAAGAGTGTCATGCCTGCGGATCAGAAACTTCCAATTGAGACCAACACACACTGCCATGAATGCTGGAGAAACTCAAATATATATTTCTACTACTGCAAAAAGTGTTGGTTGGGTATGTCAGCATGTTTCCTTCATTAATTTCATCTTTTCATATGTTTTTTATTTGATAGTTTTTCTTCCCTTCCCATTATTGTTATGCATATCTAAATGTCAATATATCGAATTCTGACAAATTCATCTATTGGAAGTTCTTAAATGTAACTGAAGTTGTAAATTTTACAATCTCTTTTGATGGGAAATTGGTGAAGACTTTTCAAGTGAACTTCTGAAATCATCAAACCTATTTGAGAGAATAGTCAAACAAAGGTTATTGGAGCTTTTTGAATATGAAGTTTTAGAATAGGGTATGTAAAATACATGCTATATTTTTTCAAATTTATTATGATGTCTTGCTTGTATTGGAAATTAGAATCCTAGTAATTTAATAATCTGATTCTATATCCTAAATTACTGTTGTAGATATTCCCACTAATAGAGCAATTCGTTATTAGTTTCAACGGAAAACACACTTCATTTATTATTTATGTTATATAGCATAACTCAATCAAACAGATGACACAATATGATGTACAAAAAACTATCAATCTGTATTGCATGATCTGGTGAATGTTTCTGAAAAATTCACTTTGTTATATTTAAGCACAGACTTGATGTCTGAATCTATTCTGTTGAATTCCCTATTTTGCTATTTGCTTAGATGAATTGGTTTTTCCTTTATGTTTTTGGCAGGACTAATAGTTGATGATTCCCGTATGCTGATCAGCTATTATGTGGTATTCATATTCACATGTTTCAAACTCCGAGCAGATTATGCATGTAGTTTTTCATGGTCATTTACGTATGACCAGATGATTTCTCAGTGCAAAGATGATTTTGTTTGGAGAGATCTCTCATTTGAAACCAAGAGCATGTGGAGTTTTCTTGATTATTTGAGAGTCTATTGCTACTGTCATCTACTAGATCTAGTACTTGCACTAATTTTAATAACAGGAACTATGGAGTATGACATTCTACACCTTGGATACTTGGGCTTTGCTCTTACATTCTTTCGCTTGAGGCTTACCATACTAAAAAAAAAGAATGGGATCTTCAAGTATTTGCGTATTTACAATTTTGCTGTTATTGTTCTCTCTTTGGGGTATCAGTCTCCATTTATTGGTGATGTTAATGAGGGGAAGTGTGAAAATACAATTGATTATATTTTTGCAGTGATAGGATTCTATAAATATGATTATGGATTTCGGATTACCTCAAGATCTGTTTTGGTAGAGATCACAATTTTTGTTTTGGTATCCTGTCAATCATATGTGTTTTCTTCCTCAGAGTTTGATTATGTATATCGATACCTTGAGGCAGAACAAATTGGAGCAATTGTACGAGAGAAAGAGAAAAAGGCTGCTTGGAAGACTGAGCAGTTGCAGCATCTTCGAAAATCTGAGGAGAAAAAATGCCAGCATAACCAACAAGTTGAGAAGATGAAAGCTGAGGTGCTCAACCTACAAATTCAGCTCAGTCATATGAATTCAAGTTCTGCCTGTGGCATTGACTCACCAGCTAATGTATGCATGAGAAGTGGTAGGCATGCTTCCCTTAACATGCAAGAATTTGGGAAACTTGAGAAACAGGATGCCTGTATAAATCCTGATCCAGGTTTTGGTTTAAACGAATCTCTAAATCTCTCAAAACCATATCATTCTTCCACGAGTGAAGGTGGCAATGGTTTATCAGCTAATGAAATCCTGAGAAGGAAGACTGATGCTTCAGATGGTATGCAATACTTATGCAATTTAGAGAAACAGGGTGGTAGTACTTCTCCTGACCCAGGTTTTGGATCATGTGTATCTAGCAGTAGTATTAGAGTAGAGCACCCAGTTATGGCAGACTTTACGAAGCACTTGATGGATGCTTCTCAAGGTGATGTTACTAAAATTGAGGAGTATGTAGATGATGATATTGGAGTAAACTCATCTAACAAATCAAAGAAAGTTAAAACTAGGTCCAGGGGAAGCCCTTTATCTTCTGCTGTGCAATTACTAGGTGATGGAGTCTCCCAAGTACAGACAATTGGAAACCTGGCAGTTAACAATCTCGCAAACTTTTTGAATATTTCATCGAAAGATTCTGATTTAAGTGAAACCTCATCTCCTGAAGATTCTGATGACAGGGAAAGCCCAAATGCCATACATGAAAATTTGATTCGATCTTCCTCAGTGCACTCTGACAAGAATAGAATGTCTGATTCTCCACGTTTGCAAATTGGATGCATAGTACATCACATATGGTCCAAAATGCGGTCGAATAATGATGTAGTGTGTTACTGCTGTTTTATTCTCGTTTTCCTTTGGAACTTTAGTTTCCTCTCCATGGGATACTTGGCAGCTTTGTTCCTATATGCTCTCTGCGTGAATACTGGGCCAAATTATGTCTTCTGGATTATTGTGCTTGTCTATACAGAACTTTATGTTCTGAGTCAATACCTCTACCAGATAATGATCCGGCATTGTGGTTTCAGCATCCAGTCAGACCTTCTGTTTGAGTTGGGGTTTCCAGTGAATAGAATACGTTCATCTTTTGTTGTTGGTTTGCTACCTCTGTTTTTGGTTTATTTATTTACTCTCATACAGTGTTCCATAACTGCAAAAGATGGAGAATGGCTTTATGGTGGTTTTCATGATGGAGAAGTGGGATCAATAATTCCAAAAGGGGCTCACTTGGGTTTGAGCTGGATCGAGAAACCAAAGAAGGCTATTCAATTAGTAGGAAAAATGATTGAAATGGTAGCTCATAGTTGTGGTAGATATTGGAAATCACTGACACAAGAAGCAGAATCTCCTCCATACTTTGTTCAATTGTCTATGGATGTCAAAGAATGGCCTGAGCATGGGATTCAACCAGAGAGGATTTGCTCTGGAATCAATCAGCTCCTCCAGCTTGTGCATGATGAGAACTGTAAGAATGAGAAACCTATTTGCTGTCCATGTGCCAGTAGGATTCAAATTCAAAGCATTGAAAGAAGTACAGAAAATGCAGATGTGGCTTTGGTTGTTTTTGAGGTGGTCTATGCCTCTTCAACGACTGAATGTAAATCATCTGAACAATTTCTCTCACTTACTCCAGCAGCAGATGTGGCAGAGGAGATCCTTAGAGCAAAATCCATGGGCCTGGCTGAAAAAGTTGGGTTTCCATACCAAATAATCTCAGTCATTGGCGGTGGTGAAAGAGAAGTTGATCTTTATGCCTATATCTTTGGAGCTGATTTGATTGTTTTCTTTCTGGTTGCCATATTCTACCAATCAGTGATTAAAAATAATAGTGAAATTCTGGAGTATTATCAGTTTGAGGATCAATTCCCAAAAGAGTTTGTATTTATTCTAATGGTAAGTAATTCACCCCCTCTATCCTTTGTCCTTATATTGTGAACATGGAGAAAACTAGGTAACATGACTAGAAGGAGAATTATTAAAATGTTGTACCCAGGTATGAATTTAGCATGGAGCATATTCTGGTAGTATACTAGCTTAATCTCTGATCTTCATTTATGTGTTTCATGGTTACATTCAACTAATATTCCTTATATGTATTATTATTTATATGCCTTTTTTTTGGGTGCAGATAATATTCTTCTTGATTGTTGTTGATCGCATAATATATTTATGTTCATTTGCTACTGGGAAGGTCATCTTCTATATTTTCAACCTCTTTTTATTCACTTATGCTGTCAATAAATATGCTGAAGGCAGGGACCCTTCCCAGCAGAATGCTGCTGGATTTGCCCTTCGCGCCATATATCTTACTAAGGCAGTTTCTCTGGCATTACAAGCAATTCAAATTCGGCACGGTGTTCCTCATGAAAGCACCTTGTATCGCCAGTTTCTCACCAGTGAAGTTTCTCATGTTAATTATATTGGGCACAGGTTGTATCGTGCTTTGCCTTTTCTATATGAACTCCGTTGCGTCCTAGATTGGTCTTGCACAACTACATCACTGACTATGTACGATTGGCTGAAGGTGAGTACTTCAGGTTATGTTAGTGATCATGTTTTCCTCATTTTAGTTTAAATTTGACATATGCACTTATATTGAGGGAGAGGTGCAAGAAACAATATATAAAATGAAAAGGACGGTGTTTCAGTGAAACCATGGTTTTAAAACTTCTCCTAGATTAATCTCTTAATGTCATTTCAGTTTGTCCATTATGGCAATGCTGGGAATTCAAACAGGGTCCACCAACAAATCAGAACATTCTGTGTGAAGATTAAATTGGTTGCATTGAGTGAAATGTGTGTGTGAATCTTCTATATTTAGGTTTTAAGCTGACCACTCCTCTACTGAGTCAAAGAGGTTCTATATTTTATAAGTTCTATATTTTATAGATACCTGACATGTAAAATAAAAATGGTTTCAAGTTGTTTCTGTTAAGCACTAAAATATCAATTAAACTACTAGATTTCCCATGGTTCTACCCAAGTGGTACCTACTTATAGATATTTCATAAAGTGTATCTTGCCCATGCACCGAGTGCACTGTTTTGTTAAGTCACCTATCTCATTCTATTGACCAGATTTTTAAATGGGAGCTGTTTGGTATTTTGTTTTCAGCTGGAGGACATATATGCTAGCTTGTACCTTGTTAAATGTGACTACGTTCTGTACAGAGCAAGACATAAACAAGGGGAGAAGCAACCAAAGATGACTAAGTTTTGCAATGGCATTTGTTTGTTCTTAATTTTAATTTGTGTTATTTGGGCTCCAATGCTGGTGAGTAACTAATGACATAACTTTGATGTGTATTAAGTTTACACTTCTTATAATGAAGCAGTAAACTAGTTCGTAATGGAATGTGCTGCCTGTTTTATTCTAATTTCAGTGTTGCTGTTATTATCTCACATTCAGATTTTATCAACTAATTGAGTAATTTAACATATATAATATTTATATATGTTGTCTATTTTGACTGTGACTGTTTATTATTCTCACTATCACTGATCTTGTTGATTATGGAAAATCTATGCCTGTTAGTTTATTTTGGGTGTGTTTGTTTGGGGGTTTGGTTTTAATAGTTGTTTGATATGATATAAATAAAATTCATGTGATGTTTTGAATATAAAATTGATGTGATGTTTTGAATATAAAATTGATTTTTAGTGTAATATATTACAAAATAGGTGTTTGATTATGTGTTTTTGGGGGAAAAAGCCTCTCTTTCTGAATTTGCTAGCGAGTTCCTTCTCCGCACTTGATATGGTGGCTAAACATTCAGTCCTCATGTTGTGCCAGTGGACCATCGTATTAGTAATACTTCCTACAGATCTCTAGGCTTAGTACATGGGAGAAAACAAAAAAATCAAGTGCAAGACTTCGAAATGATCTGTACATAACATTACTACATGCCTAAGATACTGTACTACTGGGAAACAAGTTCGAGTATTCAGAATACATGTTTTGCTCATTTAGTTTTTTGGCTTTCAAAATCAGTGGTTGAACCTAGAACCTTCACTATTAAAGGTAGTCTCTTCTCTAGTCACCCTTCTCAATATTTGGGGGCATTTTTATTTAATTTGAAATAAATAACTGAAAAAAAGCAAAAGCCTTTTTGACTGGCCTTCGATTCCTTTAATGCTTGCTATGTATGTTCACTGCAAAGTGTAGAAATTATTTGCAGATTTTTCGTTTGTTTGCTTTAGTATTTGCTCTCCTCCCCCATATATTCCAGGTCATGAGCTTAATTATTTTGAAACAGTTGGTCTAGTTAGGGGAGGTGCAGCTAATGGATAAGTGTTGGGTAGCATGAAGGGTTTTTATTGTTTATTTTCATAAAAATTGAAACATGCTGTTCTCTTACAGATGTACAGCAGTGGCAATCCTACGAACATAGCAAATCCAATTAATGATGCTAGTTTTCAGCTTGGCATCAAGACCACTGGTGGAAGCTTGATTTTGTACCAGACAACTCTTTGTGAAAGAATTGCATGGGATCAACAAAATGCAAATGTTGATCTTGATCCCAATCATTATTTGGACTTTTATGATGTGAGAGACATTCAACTCATCTGTTGCCAAGCTGATGCGAGCAACCTTTGGATTGTCCCTGATGTGATTCAGAGACACTTCCTAAGGTCTCTTAATCGTGGCCCCATGGACATAAAATTTTCTTGGGTGCTTATGAGGGATCGTCCAAAAGGCAAGGAAATGGTGAAATATGAAAGAAGTGTTGATGAAGAAGATCTTCCATTGCCTTCAGAGGTTGAAGGTGTTCTGAATGGCTCCTTCAGAAGCTTTAGGATTAATAGTATTTATCCAAGATTCTTTCGGGTTACTGGTTCTGGAGAAGTCAGACCTTTTGAGCAGGAGGTGAGCCCGAACCTTGTTTGCACACTCATGCATTTTAGCTTGATAAGTTATGATACACCTAACTTGAGGGGTTTCCATCTATCTTGTTCATTCTTTCTATATTTGCTGGGAATTATCTTTTTGGTCACATAAGAGTCTAGATACATTTTGCAACTTTTGGAAGTGACTAGCAAGACACCATTTATGCTGCGAAAGCTTTTTTTGGGCTAGTTCTATAAAATTTTCTTTTTAAAAACTAGGCTCATCTATAAATTATGGTTTCTGATCATTCACTTATGACGATTATCAAGGGATTATCTTTTTCTTTTGTTTTTTATGAAAGAAATGCAATATATATATATATATATAATAGGAAAAGAGTTAGATTACAACTGATGATAAAAAACATAGAGAAGAACAAAAGCCGCCTAGCTATGAGAAACTAGGAAAACTAAGATAGCTGAGAGATAAGATCAAGTGATTATGTTAGATAACCATTTACTCTGGAAGTTTTAGATGGCACTTATTGAATCTTTCAATTAGTTTTTACTAACTTACCAAAAGGATTTTGAAAGTGTACCATAATGAGGCAAAATAAGTACAGTCTAGAAAGGCTTAGGTTGTTTGCACAGGAATGTATTGTTCTGCTTACTTTAGTCTTAGAGTTGTTGCAAGTTTATGGCTTTGGCTTTTATTCGCCGCATACTTCATTGTTGTTTTAGCTGTATACATCAATTTAATCATTATCACTAATAAGGTGATTGACAAATGGAGAGTAACTGTGGTTTCCATTACTATCCATGTTGTGAGAAGACAAAGGCTCCATTGCAAACAAGAAGTTTTCTTGTTTAATCTTAGAGTTTCGCGGATTAGCACCACAATATTCCTTAAGTCAATCGGAGGTGAATTCTGAGTTTAGCTAAATAGCTAACTAATTGTAAGTTACACTTTTATTGATGTCTATCAGATAAATGATGTAAGCGCGGATCTCATTTTACACCACGGTAGTCGTGAGTGGTGGTCGTTTAATGATATCAGTTCATTGGATGCATATGGTTGTGGAGGCTTGTCAGGACCTACGGCCATTATCGTCTCAGAAGAGACACCTCGTAAGTTTCTTCTCATGTATGAGTATTGATGACACATAAATATATATATATCTACATGTTCATGGCAATCAATACCGTTATTCATCAAAAACACACTATTCCAGAGGGATTCCTCGGAGAGACTCTGAGCAAATTCAGCATCTGGGGTCTCTACATCACATTCGTACTCGCAGTTGGCCGATTTATCAGACTGCAATGCTCTGACTTGCGGATGAGAATACCATACGAAAATCTCCCTTCATGCGACAGGTTATACCATTCTTTAACTTTTATCCTTTTTCCAAAATCGAACTTGTTCCGTGCCGGCAGGGTATGATCCTTCCTTTTACAGGCTGCTAGCCATCTGTGAGAACATATACACTGCAAGAGCAGAAGGAGAACTCAGAGTCGAAGAGGTTCTCTATTGGATGCTGGTGAAGATTTACAGGTCGCCACATATGTTGCTCGAGTATACATGCCCCGACTAGTCTTTTGCCGATGTACACAGTTGCTGTGAATCAAGTAATTCCCATTACAAAGATTGCACCCTACCATCAGCCTTGAAGTTAGCCTCTTAACTTACTGCTGATTTTCATTTTTCGATTTCTTCTGTCATGCTTTAAATGTTGTTATGAATATGATGAATCCATCTCTGGCCTACTGTAGAAAACTGATGCATAGTTGTGTTATGTATGTGTGTGTATATATCAAGAAAATGAAAATGTTAGAATTTAACCTTAAGCTGTCCTCTATATGTAATTTTGTCTGTTTTTATCAATGGCAGAGATTGATTGAATTGTTAATAAAAATGGCATCTAGAAATATAACCTAAAGTTTACAGTTATCATAAACAGTTGATTTAATTATATGCATATACGAATATTGGTATTATGGTTAAGTTCAAGAGTACTATTGTTGCTGTCTTATCTTTCCATTTATTAAAATATTTCTGAAACTCTATTGTCCCCTAACACAGTTATTAATAATATTCCATCACCTGTATGAGTGAGATGACACCTTTTTAATTATGCCCTCTATCTACACAAATTTAGGACAGCCATTTTCATCAAGGTTTGAGCTGTCAGTTTGAACACCCAAATTGTATATTCATAATAGCTACACCCTACATTATACATACATAAATTTATACATATAGATATATGTATTAGGTGAAGAGTCAGTACAATTTATGCCTTTGTGTAGAGAGTGATTGACTGAGAATCTGAGCAATGGATATGAAATATTCATAGGGTGTGTTTGTTTGAAGGATTTTGGTGGATTTCCACTGTTCATCCAATTTTTTCCCCCCAAAAATATCAAATCAAACACCTATTTTTCATTTTTTATATTATACTAAAAATCAATTTTACATTCAAAACATCACATCAAACCCTATTTATATCACATCATACAACTATTCAAATTCAAAATTTTTACTATTCAAATTCCAACTCAAAATCCAAACCCTCAAACAAACACACCCTATAGTGGGCACTTTGATGTGTGTCTGTCACACATACATATCTGTATCTATATATATATATAATGTGTATCTACTGTGTATTATATGCCCAAGTGGGATTAAGCCCAGAAGGTACAAATGAATGATACCATAGAAAACACAAGAAGCTAAGCTAAGATAAGCTGTCCTCTTCTCAGTAGGATATTCTGTGTGCTAATAATTATAGCTATCATGTTTTGTAGTGTGTAGGCCTGTTATTAATTAAATTATGCTCTTCTTCCATTTGGCATCGTTCTTAGGTTGGTTGGGTTGGGACAGCCTGCTGACTGACTCACTGATTTCTTCCTCACCAAATACCCTATAATTAAATGCAATGCTTTATTGCCTCTGCTGCTTCTATTATAGATCATTTCCAAAAAACATGCATCATGATTGGTTCATTTTATGTCTTTCTTACTTGGAATGAGATTGATTTTTATAAATATATATATATATATATTGTTCCTTTTTATTGTTTATTTCAAAAAGGAGGTTAAATACTTGTAAATTACTTCTTTTGTCACCTAAAAATGTGCTTAAATATTTGGGTTCGAGATTTAATATAGGTCTGTATTTACTCCTCCTGTCCAGTAAGGATGATACCATTTTATACTTTTGTTCGTACCAAAACAAGAATACTATTTAGTAATTGTAGTACCTACCTAACATAATTAATATCTTTACAATTTCTATTATATTACACTCATTACTTTTATATATATCATACAATTTAATAAAAGTATTTTTGTCTTTTTTACTATAAATCAATATAATACTAATATTAAAAAATCTATGTCCAAAAAGTAAAACATTACTCTTTTTTTCAGGACGATGTAGTACTCCCTCCATCACATATCTATCTATTCATTTATTTTTTACACTGAGTTTTAGGAATATTAGTATTATATTGGGATGTAGTAGAAATAAAGGTAAAGAGATTCAACTAACTTTATTAGTATTGTATGATATAAATGTACTGACATTTGTGTAATATATTGTAAATTAGAAAAGTATTTGTAATGTTAGGTAGATAGTTCAGTTATTAAAAAGGAAACGGATACTTTGTTATGGGACGGACCAAAATGGAAAAATGGATAAATTATTAAGGGACAGTGGGGGTATTATTTTTGTGTCTTTTACAGTATACATATAAAGTGATTATTTTTTACTAAAAATAAAGAAAATAGTTCTAGATTACTGACAAAAGAGAAGTAAACACGTTAAACACATTTGTATTTGATTTCCTTTTTCATTTTAATATAAAATAGCCTTGCTTGAGTTGCTTTTTCTTCTTTGAGCTTCCTTTTTTGTTTTCTTTATTTCTTTTCATTTTCTTGGCATGGAAAAAGATGGCCTCGTGATCATATTTCATGTTCTTGCCCAATCATGAAATGCTGTTATAATATGTAAAACCTAAATTTAAGGAAAAATTAGCCTGGCGTGACCTACTATATATAAGTGATATATATATATATATATATATGCATGATTGCATACAACAATACTGAAGAACTGGGAAATAAGTCTATTGGACATGTAACTTCTAGCATTGAATAGTTTTCTGATGTGGTTTTAAATGTCTTATATATTTTAATTTATTTTTTTTTTATAACAATATAATATGTAGTTGTTACTTTTTGAGTGCGTATCAGGGGTGTGTTTATTTGGGGGTTTTGAATAGTAAAAATTTTGAATTGAAAAAATTGTATAATGCAATATAAATAGGTGTTAACGTAATGTTTTGAATATAAATTGATTTTTAGTATAATATAAAAAAATAGGTGTTTGATTTGATATTTTTGAGAAAAAAAAAATGTTTGATAAATAATAAATTCTGGGAAGAATCCCCCAAACAAATACAGTCTAGGTAAACTCTTAGGTCTATCTCAATAACTTGCAAATCATGCCAGTCTATAAACTACACTGGAAAGAATCATGTGTGACAGACTCAATCAAGAAAACAATTGGCAATGGATTACTCCCTTGAGATAAATGTGTTATATATATTGTATGATTTTCTAATAGTAAGCATTTTATAACTATTGTGGTAAATTCTACATTTTTCTTTTCTCTCTAATTTATTACTACCCTTGTCATCGAAATTTATACTTATTTGATCGGGTATAGGCGTTAAAAAAGAATATAGGTAAAAATAGAAATATTTTCTGTTTATAGTAAAAAAAAAATAAAAAAAATATGATGTTTTTTATTTTAGAAAAATAGGAATATCTTTTTATGAAAAAAAAAAAGAAGAAGAAAAGTAGACATGAATTTGAATGACAAAAAGTATAATAAATTCATTGTTTTGATAAGAATAATATTATGTTGTTGCCTTAAATTTTGAAATGAACAATAGATATGCTTACGCGTTCATTCATTTGTTAGTGTGTTTGTTTGAGGGATTGGATTTTAAATTCACTATTTATTCTTTTTTTTTCCCCAAAAATATTAAATCAAACACCTATTTTTCATTTTTTATATTATACTAAAACGCAATTTTACATTTAAAACATCACATCAACACCTATCTATATCACATCATACAATTATTCAAATTCAAATTTTTTACTAGTAATCCAAACCCCCAAACAAACTCACCCTAAGAGTATAGTATCTGGATAAATGCAATATTGGCCTCTAAAAGCTAAATAAAAATAAACCTACACTATAAATAAATAAATAAATAAATCTTTTAATAAAATATCACTCCATTCATCATTCAAATATATATTCACTTTTCTTTTTGGATTGTCATTGAAAAATATTCTTATTTTATTTTTAAGTAAAAAAATTATTATATTTTTGTAATTTTTTTTTTACTATAAAAAAAATGTGACCATTATTACTATTTTTATTAAAATCTGTGTCCGATCAAATAAGCACACACGAATGGAGTATAAAATATGATATATATCAAAACGGTGACCAAATCAATGGAGCATATATATTTAATAATGAAGCAGGGTCCGCACTTTTTAGAGTATTGGCACCATTGGATCCATCCATCACTTTTAAATATATATATATATGGCTCTGCATGAGCATTACGACAGACAATGCAACTCATCAATAATAATAATAATAATAATAATAATAATCAATTAATAAATCCAACAATATTTTATTCACGTTTCATTAAATGTATATAGCGGTCAATGATACTATTTTACTCATTCAATATATATCTACTTCAGAAATCAATTAAAAATACTAGTAAATGTATCTTATATAGAAATCGAATTATCTAGAAAGTAGTAGTAGTAATATATTATTATTATTATTATTAAATAATTAATTATTATATACTAGTTTGCATGGGAGTTTCGTCCGGCGTGTTTTGGGTGACGTGGCGTTCCACGCAATGCATGTTTATGTTTATAACGCCCGCCCGCCGTGTGTTGACTCACTCGCTCACTCTCACTCCCTTCTTAATTTCCCATTAATCATTTCCACCTTTTCTTTATATATATATATATATATATATATAATTCATAAATAATTTTGTATATATAATAATTTACTCATTTCATTTTAGTTTGTCTCACTTATTTTGTTATTTTTTTTTAAAAAATATACTTTAATTTTATTTTAAATTTTTAAAATTTTAATTAAACTAATCAATTATCTTAATTCAAAATTATTTTTATTATACAGTAATTTTTTCAACTAAAATATTATTAAGTATTTAGTAATTATATTTTTTTCTAAATTTTGATATATACAGTCAATGGAACACCGTAAACAAAATAGAGGGAATATAGTATAACATAATTGTTTTAATATTGTATTAAATATTAATATATATATATATATTTTTTTTCATGAAGATGAAATGATATATTATTAATATAAAATTTGATGCTTTGTATAAAGATATTGGTTATTTTTAATTTTATTGTGGGTATATATTATATAATTTTATAATATTTGTCAAAATTTGCAGATTTTTTTGGGGAAACAATATAAATGGATAGATACATAGATATGCATTATAATAAAAATAAAAAATTGTGGGTTAGAATAGGGATGGATATATGCATGGTGGGAGCAGTTGAGTTTGAGTTGAGCTGAACCTCACTATCTAATCATACATATAAAATGATATTATGAGATACTCCTTCCGTCATGTAAATATATACTTTTAATAAAAGTAAATAATAATAATTTTTTTTTTTATAGTAAAAAAATACAAAAGTATAATAATTTTTTACTTTAAAACAAAATGAGAATATTTTTTGATGACAACCCAACAAAAAAAAATAAGCATAAATTTAAAAGATAGAGGGAGTAATATGAAATTAAATGCTTTTCTATTAAATAAAAAAAAATTTTTAATATAAATAGAGAAGAATCCAATTAAATTACATCATCAGATCCTCTTTCTCATGGTAGCAGGTAATGAGCTGCCTCCATTCTTTCCGCGTGGCTGGGTCGCCCCTGTCTCAATTATTTCCCCTCTTACATATATATATATATATAATACTTGACTATATAATTCTTGACTATCTTCGTTCCGCAAAAAATTTGTCATAGTTCGTTTATATATTGATATTTAAATATTAATTATTATATCAATACATAATAGAAATAAAAAAAAAAAAAAGATAAAAATTCATTTATTAGTCTCTTATAATAGAAATATAATGATATTTGTCGAGTAAATGATTCAAATATAAAAATATTTTTAATATTAAGTACAATGACCTAAAAACCAAATGACAATCTTCTTGTGGGACGGAGGGAGTATGGATAAACTGTTTTTTAGTCCCGTAACGGACCCTCTTATCATTTTAGTCTCGTAAGTGGAGCATGTCACAAACTAGTCATAAGTAAAAAAATTTCGTTGTTTTATTTATTTTTTTCATTTTTTAAAATCTTTTAATTTTTTTAAATTTTATTTTATTTTTAAATTTTTTTTTTTATTTGGTCCAACTGAAAAAAAATTTAAAAATAAAATAATAAAATAAAATCCACATGTTCGTCAAGTGTCGTTGACTTGGTGGGACACGTGGCTTCCGGCGAGCCACGCGGACGTCTCCGGCGCCGGAGTACTAAAACAACGAAAATTTTTCACTTATGAGACTAGTTTGCGACATACTCCACTTACGAGACTAAAATGATAAGGGGGTCCAGTTACGGGACTAAAAAAACTATTTACCCGAGGGAGTATATATATTTGCATTTTTTATTATATTGATTATATTTAATCAATACACTATTAACATCACAATTAATACTAGTATATATCAACCATATATTACCGGTACATTTGTTCGGGGAATTGAATTTTGAGTTGAGATTTAAATAGTTAAAATTTTGAATTGAAATAGTTGTACAATGTCATATAAATAAAAGTTATGTAATATTTTGAATAAAAAATTATTTTTTAGTATAATATAATAAATAAATAATAATTGTTTGATTTAATATTTTTAAGGAGAAAAAAAAAATTAATGAATTGTAAAAGTTCGGAAGAATCCCCAAACAAACCCATCCTGCTTGTATCATCTCACAAAATTATATAGGCTTCTTTGGGTACAGAAATTAAAGCATGCTATTTTAATATTAAATGAAATATGTAAAAAAAATAAAAATAAAAATATTGTGATTAATTTATTAAATGATTTGATTATAAAAATCCAAAATATTTGGAACGGATAAATTATTTGTTTTATTGAAAAATATGAATAAAAATTTAAATAATTTTTAAAAAATTACATGATATATCTCCTCATAAACACTTAATTTGTTTAATTTAGCTTAGACTCTCACTTAATTTATTATATTTAACTTAGACATAGAGTTTTAGATATTGCATTAATAAAAATAATTATATATTAAAATTAAGACGATTAAATAATTTAATTAAAATTTAAAAAAATTATAAATTATAAATTTTAAAATATAATTAAAATGATAAATTATATGAAATTAAAAATTTAAAAAAATAGATAACTTAGGTGAGAGCGTCAATTTCGATTGGACAGCAAGGATCCTTAATTTTTTTATAATTTTAAAACAGCTCTGATATTGAGGATGAAAGTGTCGTAGACGTCGAAAGCTCCCAGGATCCGGGATCCAGGTCAAACCCTCGCATATTGGTCCAGGATCTCAAGTCCCGGGTGCTTCTATGCTACACGCACAACCCCATCTCATTTACCTGCCCAATAAGTCACCTGCTACACATATCATTGCTTTCTTCCTCACTGTCTCCGACTTGTCTTCATTCTTTTCCGCCTCTGCTCCGATTTTTCCCTCTGATTAATTCTCTTTTTCAGTTTTTCAGCAGAAATCATTGCGACATGGCGCTCTGAAGATATACGGAAGCTTCTGAGAGCTGTTTTTGTCGCGCCAGGAAATGCTCAGGATACTGAACAAGCAGCTGAAGCGCCTCTTCCGGTGGCCGCGCCGACGCCGGAGCCGCCCGAAGATCGTCGTCAGAAAATTCGGACGATCGAACTCGAGAACGCACTCCGACCAGAAGGATTCAGCCAGCAGTATTTCCTCCGCCGTGATTCATCCAAGCTGCACCGATTTGGCCGCGCCTAGACGCGTTAGGGTAGCGACATTCAACGCCGCGCTGTTCTCCATGGCGCCGGCGGTTCCGACGTCGGCGAAATCTGCGTCGCCGCCGGAAAGTAACCGCGAATTCGACCGAAATCCGTCGTCCATAGACGACCGGCCGAAGAGCATACTGAAGCAGTCTCCGCTCCATCCTGCCGCCGCGGAGGAGGAGAATCTCTCACGGCGGCAGAAATTCGCGAAATCGAGATTGAGAGTGTCGATAAACTTACCTGACAACGAGATCTCGTTGAAGCGGAGCGGCCAATTGAGCTTCGCCGCCGACGAAGGATCAGGATCAGGAACAGGAACAATATCTAGGGTTACGAAGGGGAAGGCTCCAATTAGGGGAAATAGCTTAACAAACGGCGTCGTTTCGAGGAGCAGTAGAACAATAGTGGAAGTGCTGCGTGAATTAAACGCCGACGTTTTGGCTCTGCAGGACGTGAAGGCAGAGGAGGAGAAGAACATGAAGCCATTGTCGGACCTGGCCGGAGCTTTGGGGATGAACTACGTGTTCGCGGAGAGCTGGGCGCCGGAGTACGGCAACGCGATACTCTCGAAATGGCCGATCAAGCGGTGGAAGGCGCAGAAGATCGTGGATGATTCGGATTTCAGGTAATCAAAATTGGAAACCATCATATAATGGTGTTGGAGACTGTGAATGAATTGAGAATTGTGCAGGAACGTGGTGAAGGCCACCATTAACGTACCTGGAGTTGGGGAAATGAACGTCTTCTGCACGCTGCTGGATCATTTAGAGGAGAGGTGGAGGATGAAGCAGATGGACGCCATAATGGCGTCGACGGGGGTTCCTCACATCCTCATGGGAGGCTTAAATTCCTTAGACGAATCCGATTACTCGCAGGAAAGATGGACAGACATTGTCAAGGTAGGTACCACTGCACCTCACTCTCACTCTCTCTTCTCTCTAATCTGCTGTTGGATTATATGGATGCTTACATTTATTCACATTTGGAAAATTTTTAGAAAAAAACAAAGTACTATTTAATACTGTATTTTTCAAAAATAAAAATTAGTGTTTATTTGGATTTTGAATTTTGAAAAGTAAAAATGTTGATAGTATGTTTTAAATATAAAATTTATCTTTATATTGATGTTAAATATTCCGTCCGTCCCAGAAGTATAGTCGAGATTTAAGGAATATTAATATTATATGAAAAATACAGATAAAAGATTTTTTTGCCATTGTGAATGTATTAGTGTAAAAAATAGCGGTAATTGTGTAATAATAATAATGAAATAGTAACGGTAATTTTATAGTAATATAGTTATTTATGGAAATAAGACTATTGTGTGGGGACGGACAAAAATAGTAAACAAGATTATTGTATTAGGACGGAGTGACTATATGAAAAATGAAATTTAAGATATTTAATTTGATGTTTCTAGAAAAAAAATATATATATTATGAATGATAGAAATTTGATGAAATAATTTTTTAAAATTTGTTTTCCAACAAGTTACATCATACAGGGGCTTCCTAATTTTTTATTTTTTCACAATATCAAAGTTTTATATCTATTTTATTTAAAATATCCTATTTGTTTGGTCTCGATTTGATTTGAATTTCAACTTTTGAAGTTTTGATTGGAGATTGAAAAATAAAAAATAAAAAATAACACCTAATGATTGTGCATATCAATGGAAAAAAAAAAATCCAAATTTTGGTATATTGAATTTTTTCAATAAAATAATACTATGTTCGTCCCTTAACAATCTATCCATTTTTTATTTTGGTCCGTACAAAATATTTATTTTCTTTTTTAGTAATTGTACTATCTACTTAACATTACAAATACTCTTCCAATTTACAATAGATTACACAAATATTATTACATTTATATCATACAATCCTAACAGGGTTAATTTAATCTTTTTATCTTTATTTCTACTTTATCATAATATAATACTAATATTTCTAAAATTCTATACAAAAAACTAATAGATATATAGATACGAGACGAAGAGAATAGTATATAATTTGATTTTTTTTGGTATGTAGAAAAAAAAAAAGCGTATTGTTTTGATATTTGGCTATTCAATGTATTAATATATATCAATATTATAATAATAATTCAATATATGGATTTTTAGTGTGATATCATTATATATATATCCTTGATATGAATTTCGTTATACTAAAATTTTAGTATAATATCGATGTTTTTTTAATATTTATTAAAAAATTATTATATTTTTATATTAAGGCATAGTGTTACTTTGACTTTGAAAGTCAAACCAAACACACTGTACCAATCTCATGTTCAATAGGGTGTGTTTGTTTAAGGGATTGGATTTAATTTTTACTGTTCATCCCATTTTTTCTTCTAAAAATATCAAATTAAACACTTATTTTTTATTTTTTATATTATATTCAAAATTAATTTTACATTTAAAACATCACATCAGCACTTATTTATATCACATCATACAACTATTTAAATTCAAAATTTTTACTATTCAAATCTCAACTCAAAATCCAACCCCAAACAATGAAAGTATTTAAATGAAAGTATTTTTCGTGACTTTTAGAATAGAAATATTGAATAAGAAAATAAATTGAGTGTGATTTAATAAAGAGAATGCTTTTGCTGTAATATTTTACATAAAAGAAATAAATATTTCAAGTAACATATTTTTTTTAAAAAAAACATTCCCTCTGTGCATTTTAAAATGAGTTTTTTAGATTTTGACAGCAAATTAAGAAATAACAGTATTTTATTAGTAGTGGAAGTATGTAATAAATTTTGACATTTTTGTCCTTTCACTTTTTGTATAAAGTAATTATATATATAATAATATGCTTGTAATTTAAATAAAAGTTAAGAGTATTTTAGTATTAGTGTATGATTATTTTTTTAAAAAAATAGGAAATTGATACTTATAAATGAAAGACACAAATAGTAAAAATGATATTTTGAATTGGACCGGATAGAGTATATACTAAAGTAAAAATAATTTGGAAATATATGTAACATAATTAATGTGTACTTTTGAGTTTTTTTAATGGTTAAATGTGATGATGGAGATGAAATAATACTCTTTTTTTCTCATCCTAAACATGTCTTTTCTTTTCTTTTCTTTTTTAAAGTGAATTAAGAAATAATATTTATTATTTTATTGGTTAGTAAAAGTGTATTAAATAATTTAACATTTTTGTCTTTACAAAATATAAATAAATTTGTATAAAAATAGAAGTATTTTAGCATTTTGAATACAAAATATTTTTATTATATTAAAAAATGCATATTTTTGAATGAAAAATAAAAATAGTATTTTGAATTGAGATTCGAAAGAAATATATATTTATAAAAAAACTACCACGATTCGAATAAAATATATATTTATAAAAAAACTACCACGATTCGAATGTAGAAAATGAAATTAAACTTAAAAAGAACATATATTTTCTTTGGATAGTCACTGCTTAAGTTGGCGCACCTCAAACTAAACTCTATTTTGTTGTGTAGTATTACGAAGAAATGGGGAAGCCGACGCCTAAGGCCGAGGTAATGAAGTATCTAAAGAGCAAAGAATACACCGACGCTAAACACTTCGCCGGAGAGTGCGAATCCGTGGTCATGATCGCCAAAGGACAAAGTAAGAAAGAACACACATATGCACTGACCTCCATATATATATATATATAAAATTATATATTATATATTATGTTAATGCAGGCGTACAGGGGACGTGCAAATACGGCACGCGCGTGGATTACATATTGTCATCATCCGGCGCGCCATACAAGTTCGTCCCGGGATCCTACTCGGTGTTCTCTTCCAAAGGAACTTCCGATCATCATATAGTGAAAGTCGACGTGATCAAAGAAGCGGGTAGCTCGTGCGCTAGCAAGAAGACTCGGCAGCAGCAGAGAGTGCGTACGGTTAAGATCACGCATTCGACGCCGCCTTCGAAGGGCGTTTGGAATATGCATTCTTGATCAAGCATCTGGTTTGTTGTTCTTCTTGATATATATATATATATATATATAGATTATTTGATCTTTTTATTGATGTTTTGTTTTGTGTATCTATGTTTGAGTTGAGATTGTTGGTGTTTACACTGATGTAGGATTTGTGATTGAAGATATAGATATATATAGATATGTATGTATATTTTATGTATAGATTCTTATTTCTTGATTTGTAGACGACTTCTTTGTTTTAATAGGAGTGGACGAAATATCTGAATTGAACTTCGGTTGAATTGAATTTTCAGTTACCCGAGAAAATTTGATTTGAATGCAAATACATATTCCCTCGGTACCATAATAAAAAATCTATTTTTTCATTTTAGTCCGTCTCATAACAAAATATCCATTTCTTTTTAGTAACTGGACTATCTACCTGATATTACAAATACCCTTACAACTTATAATATATTACACAAATACCATTACATTTATATCACACATATTATTTTAGTCATTTATACTTTATTTCTATTATATCTCAATATAATACTAATATTTTTAAAACTACGTGCAAAAAGCAAGTGAATATTTACTTATGGGACGGAGAGAGTATTTGATATTGATTAAATTTGAATTTTTTTTTCGATTAGCCGAATAGAATAGAATAGAATAGAATGTATTTATATTTTAAATTTTATATCAGTAATTATTACCTTCGACCGGCTCTAAGGGTCTGATTTACTTTTTGTTTGTTGATATTTGAATATTAATTATTATATGAAAAAGTAATACAAATTAAGAAAAAATAACAAAAAATACTTGCATTAGTGTCTTATAAAGTACACAAATATAAAAATATTATTAATATCAAGTACAATGACGCAAAAAGTAAATGAGACGGAGCATATACATTATACTCAATTCAAGTTTGAAATATTTGATCATATTTTAACTTAATTGGAATTTCTTTTATTAATGTCTACTTTCGTCCTAAATCCAAATATTTTTTTAACTGTACTCGTCTATCCACTCAAAAGTATTATTTTTTTTAAGCAAAAATAATTATACACTAATATCAAAATATATTTTATAAACATACAATTATTTTATAATATATATATATATATATATAAATCTTTGACCTGAAAAAGTATTTGTTTTCATATTTGCAATATTACAAATATTTCCAATTATTCAACATTTTCGGTTCAGATTCGGTTTATAATTTAAAGGGTGTGTTTGTTTGGGAGTTTGGATTTTGAGTTGGGATTTGAATAGTAAAAATTTTAAATTTGAATAGTTGTATGATGTGATATAAATAGGTGTTGATGTGATGTTTTGAATGCAAAATTGATTTTTAGTATAATATAAAAAATGAAAAAATTGGCGGTTGATTTGATATTTTTGAAAAAAAAAATTGGATGAATAGTGTAAATCTATTCCAATCACCCAAACAAACACACAGTATTTGTTCGAATGTTTAGTTATTGGTTAAAGAAGTTTAATTAATATAGATTGGGGCAGGAGATGAAGAATCGATATAATCAGAAGACAGTAGTCGGAATAGTTACCGGCGGAAGTCTCGGCGGCGGTGCTGCACCGGAGATCGGACGGACGGTGAGGCTGAGCGCCAGCCATACCTACGATGCTGCGAAGAACGCCGATCGCTTCAACAACCGCGCGACGGAATTCTAAGCGTCGATCGTCTTCAACCTCTAATCTCCGGCGATCTACTCCTCTGTTCCTTCTACAGGTGACTTTCCTCCTTCCTATTGCTGTTTTCACTTCCGATCTGTTACGATTTACGAACGAAGCTATGTTAGGCTTTTGAGAGATTTCTACAAAATGTGGATAGGAATTAGGAAGAACATAGAACCTGAATTAGAATCCACATCGTCCTGATCTCGGAAGTTTTCCAAAACATTAACTGACGAACATTCAACAATTTCATAAACAAGTTCCATAAAACCTAAATTGCTTCCGCATATTGATTCCAGTGCTGCAATTCTTAAACAGTGCGACAGTTTCAGTCAAATTCTACAGAAGGTAATCCGTATGATGAGGTGAAGTTAAATTTCTAACTTGAATAAATAAAATGGAAATCGGATGTTTTTCCAAACAAATTCTGACGAACAATCAGTTTGTGTATTCAGGAACAAGTTCCATGAAGCCAAAATATACTTACTCGTTTTGAAACAATGCGTGGAAGAGCATCGTCATCCTTAGCTCGTCAATTCATTGCTGCTATCCTGAGAAGGTGCAATTCTTTCAATCAAATATACATATCCATATATATATATATATATATATATATATAGCTGAGAATCCTCATTGTCGTATTCTCATTGTAGTAAAATGGTGAGGGAACAAAATTTTTGGAAATTGCGACCAAATTCCCGTATTTTTAAAACTGGGTCAACTCTTTCGTGTTTCATAAACTTTCTAGCTTTTCTTATTTAATTATATTTTACTTAAATGTTCTCAAACTAAGAATAAATTTTAAAATTTTAATTTTTAAATCCCTGAAATTACAAATATATTTATTTTTTTATATATATTTAGTCTAAAAATAGTAAAAATAAACTCTTATAACTTGAGAAAAATAATTTTTTTTGAGGATTACATATTTTAGGAGGGTTGTAATTAGTAGATAATTAAGAATGTATTAGTAAAAATAATTATTTTATAATATAAATAATTATAAATTAAGATTAAAATAAGTAATTAGTTTAATTAAAATTTTAAAAAATAGATTAAAAAGTTTAAAATGAGATTAAAGCGTGTAATCATTTTTCAAAAAACGAAAGTGACATGGAATGTGAGATTGACAGAAACAGCAACGTGGACACGATATGTGGGACAGATGGAGTATTTTTAGGCTAAATACAAGAAAAATGAATATATTTGTAATTTTAGAGATTTAGAAATTAAGATTCTAAAATTTATTCGCAATTTGGGCGCATTTAGGTCAAATGCATTGAATAATATCGTTGAAAGTTGAAACCACCTTAAGTTTGAAGTAGTTTTAGAAATACAGGGATTTTGCCAATATTTTTTATTATAACTAAAATATATTACTATATGGTTTGTTACTTTTGCCTTCAAACTTCGAATTTTTACTATTTGAATTTTATATTTTTGAAAAAAAAAATACATATTTTTTTTTAATAAAATATTCCCTCCGTCTCACCGGAATTGAACCTTTTGATTAGGGACATTGTATTTAAGGTGAAAATGTTTAATTAATTAATAATAATTACTTATGATATTATTATATTTTTTTTGTATAATTAATAATTATTATAGTTGTAAAGTAAATTTAATATATATGATTAAAAAAATTAAAATATATGTTTAAATATTTAAAAATTATATAGCAATTAAAAAATATATGCAATATGGATATTATTTTGTAGAGAATAAAATCTTCTATAATACAAGTAAATAAAAAAATATTTTTGTTTATTTATAATTAACATAAATCAATTTTATAAAAGATGTGTAGTTTTAAATATAGATAAAAATATATATTGTTTTGAAAATAGAGGTAGAAATAAAGAGGTTTTGAGTGGGTCTTACGTCATTGATGTTGTATGTTACGTAGTTAATTAAGTTGATTTATATTTGTTAAATATGTTTTGGTTTAATAATTTTTACCAAAAATAGAAAGGTGTCGATTGTTATGGAATACGGACAAAAATGAAAATAGTGTCAATTGTGGTGGGACGAGGGAGTATTTCTTTAGACATTATTTTAATATTAAACTTAAACCAATTTTTTTTCTAAATCCATAAAAAAACATACAACCATCCAAAAAAATATGTCATATTTTCTCCGTCCCACATAATTTGTCTCTATTTTATATTTTCTTCCGTCCCACATAATTTATTCCTATTTTATATTTTCTTCCGTCCCACGTAACTTGTCATTTCTATTCTTTGAAATATAATTATGCACTTTAATCGCATTTTAAATTTTAAATTTTATAATTTTCTTAATTTTAATTAAACCATTTCCTTATCTTAATCTTAATCTATAATTATTTTTACTAAATAATAATTATTTTTACTAATACATTTTTTAATTACTTACTAATTATATTTTACCTAAATTCTCGTGTCTACGGTAATACACGCATATTACATGGGACGGAGGGAGTACTACTACACAGGCCCAAATATTGCTAAAATTTGTGGAATTGGGCCTTTGAAAAATATATTAAGCTTCCAAATATTGGAACAAATTTCCTTATTTGTACTTTGGTTCTTGTTGGGTTCTCAATTTAGTCATACCTTTTCTTTTCACTTTAAAAACATTTAATTATATATTCATTTTTATATTATTATTATTTTTAAAAATAATAATAATAATAATTCAAAATTTTATATCTCTTTATATATCAAATAACCATCTTATCTAATTCAAATTGTTACAATTCCTTTTAGCAATATGAAATGTCCAAAGCTACTTCTTTTGGGCCGAATAACTTTAAAAGGAATAGTTGGTTTAACTTTGAACATGTCTCAAGATTGCGATGGGTGGATTTTGTACGGATTTCCAAAATTTTGCTTTATTGTGTAAAATATATTTATATATTGATTTTGGGTGTGTTTCTTTGGGAGCTTTTTGGGAAATTTAGGTTTGAGTTTGATTTTTATTTGAATTTTAATATTTTTATAATAATTTGTATAATTTAATTATAAATTTATATTATATTTATATATATTTTTTAAAATTTTTATTTATTTATATTATAAAAAATTTATTCTCTCTGCAAAATTATATATTATATATATTTTTATTAAATTATAATTATTACAATTTTTTTATATTTATAATTATAAAAAATTAAAAAAAAAAAAAAAACAACTGACAGAGTTGTCTCCAAGCTCCCTCCAGCCCAATTTTGGACTGCATCACTATGCAAATCCAATCCAAAACTAGGCCGGAGAAACAACTTTTTTCTTTCTTTTTTTTTTATAAATTATATTTCTTCCGTCTGCTTAATGTCATATTTATATTTTGCGTCATTGTATTTAATATTAAAAATATCTTTATTTGTATAATTCTTTTTTGTTTAAATGTTCTTCTATTAATATTATAAGACAATTTTTTCTTAATTTTTACTATATTTTAATATAATAATTAATATTCAAATATCAATATGCAAAAAATAAATAAGAATCTTAGAGCCGGATAAAAATAGTATAAAATATTAAATTTAAGATTTTAATAATAAAAATAGTGATATATTTTCAATGAGAGTGACATACATATTGCTATATATATATATATATATACAAGCGAGTTCTTGAGGGAGTTTAAGAATTGCTAGACCGACGGGAAGGTGATCGAGGAGGAACCATCCCACCCGTTACAAGTGGACAGTGGGGTGAAAAATGGGGTTGAAAGGAAAAACTTAGATGAAGAGTCTTTTTGTCGAACAGATTGTGAGCGTGAACCAAAAGCCAGAATTTCGACAAAGGTTCGAGTAAAGTGGATGCCGACCAATCCATATCCGCAACCAAAGCTCATTAAAATGAACTTTATCTTGTTTCTGTCAAAATTAGGGGAATTTTGAAGGAAATGAAATATGTTTATGTTTTTAATTTATAAAATTACTATTATATTTCTAATATTATATACTTCCTCCGTCCACACGCAAAGTAAACATTTACTTTTGGCGTTTAAAAAATAATAGTAGTATTTTAATTATATAGTGGGTAGTTAAAAGTAGTAAAATGATATTTTTGCCCTTATTTTTTTGGTGTAAAAGTAACGATGTGATGTAAAGTAAGGATATTTGTGGAAAAAAAATGAAGTATTTAATAAAATATTTATTTTGTAATTGGACGTCCAAAAATAGAAATATGTATATTTTCTAGCTGGACGACGAGAGTATTACTTTATCTATATTTAATTATACAAAAAATTATACTCCCTCTGTCCCACCGAAATTGAATCATTTGATTATGGACACGTTATTTAAGATAAGGATGTTTAATTAGTTAATAATAATTAGTATGCTAATATTTTTTATATAATTAATAATATTTATAGTTTTAAAGTAAATTTAATATATATGATTAAAAAAAATCAAAATATATGTTTAAATATTTAAAAATTATATAGCAATTAAAAAATATATGTAATATAAATATCATTTTGAGAATAAAATTTTCTATAATATAAGTAAATACAAAAATATTTTTTTATTTATAATTAACATAAATCAATTTTATAAAAGATGTGTAGTTTTAAATATAGATAAAAATATTTATTTTTTTAAAGAAAGATAGAAATAAAGGAGTTTTGAGTGGGTCATACGTCATTTATGATGTTATATGTTATGTAGTTAATTAAGTTGATTTTTTTATTTAATAATTTTTACCAAAAATGGAAATGTATCCATTATTATGGACAGACAAAAATAAAAATAGTGTCAATTATGGTGGGATGTATTTTACAATTAATAATTAGTTATAATATTTTTAAATTTTATAACGTAATTAAATTATAAAATAAAAAATTTTATATAAGGTGAAAAGTCAAAGGATGGATGAAGGGCGACGAGACGATCACAGCAAAACTTTCATTTATATGTTATTTTTTTTTATAGGTTGAAGGGTAACATTGTCCATTCAAGTGGCAAAGGTACAAAACTTCCATTTATATGCTATAAAATATATATAAGAAAAATAATTAATTAAAAAATTAGTAAATTAAAATACACACAATCGATCATGGGTAGCAATCTTTTACGTGCGCCACAAGGATCAAAATGCAAAATTAATGTATAATATAATATTATTAAAATTAGGCTAATTAATGTTATGATCGACTGCAGGAACCACATATTCCATTTCTACAACACATACACTGAATCTTATTTAGGGTATGTTTTTTTTTTATTGAGTTTGAGAAAAATCGGTTTGAGTTTAGTGTTAAAATAATGTTTGATGGAATATTTTATAAAAAAAATATTTCTTTTTTCAAAAAAATGCATAATTTAAATAGTAAAATTTAAAAAAATTTGTACAAAGAAATATACTCTTAATGTGACAAATAATGTTTGTTAGTGTTGATTCCGAAAAATCTAACACTTAAATGATTAAGAATTTAAATAGCATATTATTTATATTAATATAATATAAATATTTCATTCATCTTATTTAAATTGAGATTTTTTTGTTGTTGGCACGGTATTTAAAATAATGAGATTTAATTAATTAATGTTAGTGACTTATGATAT